AGTATCTTCATCAGTGACGTTGACAGTGGGGTCAAGTGCACTCTCAGCAAGCTCAGCAAACCCCAATATGTGGGGTGCAGTCGATGCACCAGAGGGACCTAGATGAACTTGATCAGCAGGCCCAAGTGAACCTCATGAGGTTTGACAAATGCAAATGCAAAATCTTGCACCTGGGCTGAGGCAGCTCTCACTACCAATACAAGCTGGGGGATAAAAGGATTGAGCACAGCCCTGCTGAAAACGACATGGGGGTACTGGTGGATGGGAAGCTGGACATGAGCAGCAATGCATCCTCAGCCCCAAAAGCCAACTGTATCCTGGGCTGCATCGAAGGAAGCGTGGCCAGCAGGTCCAGGGAGGTGATCCTGCCCCTCTGCTCTGCACTGTGAGGCCTCAGCTGGAGCACTGCGTCCAGATGTGGAGTCCTCAGTACGGGAGAGACATGGACACAAAAAGGTCCACCCCAGGATCCAGCTGTGGTGTCCTTGTGCATTGCAGAGGGGTTGGAGTAGATGGCCTTTAAAGGTCCCTTCCAACTCTAAAGATTCTGTGATTCTCAGAACACCAATCCCAAGAGAGGCTCATCACTGGCCTCCAACTGGACATAGAGCCATTGACCACAACCCTCTGGCTGCAGTTGCATCCAAATAATTCTTTATCCACTAAATAGTCAACTCTTCAAATCCTCTCTCTCCAATTTAGAGATAAGAGTGTGGCGTGGAGCCATATCAAAAGCCTTGCAGAAGTCCTGGGAGATGACATCAGTTGCCCATTCTTTGTCCACTGATGGTATCCTATCATCATAGAAGGCCACCAGACTGGTCGAGCCCAATGTGCCCTTGGTGAAGCCATGCTTGCTGTTGTGGATCATCTCCTTGTCTTGCATGTGCTTTAATGTAGCTTCCAGGAGCATGTTCCATGATCTTCCCAAGCACTGACATGAAGTTCACTGGCCTGTAGTTCCTCAGGTCTTTCTTTATCCTTTTCTTAAAAATGGGAGGGAAGTCACCAGGGACTTCACCTGACAGCTGTGACTTTCCATATATGATGGAATACAGCTTGGCAACATGAGGATGAGGGCAGAGGCAGAGACAGATCCTTATCCATAGCCAGTGGTACTTCACAGATCTCTTTGAAGAAATGTAATAGTACTGAAATACTCTCTAGTATTATGGCAACTTTTTTTTTTTACGTCAGTATTGTGAAAAATTCAATGTGTTGTCTGCTACTGCCTTCTCTTGCGCATGTGTTTGAGAGCAAAACAAGCCCTTAGGTAAGATAAAGTACTCTTTCTACAAAGGTTTAAATAGAGAAAGCATTTCCATATCTGTTGGGTGCCTGGTAGGTTTTCGGTGGGGAGATGGCAGTTGCAGGAATAGTGCAGGACTATTTTATCTACATATGATGTAGGATACGAGAGTACAAGAAGTGAAGGGAAGGAGTGAGGTGTGTGAAGGGGTGAGTCCAGATGAGCTGTCTGCAACGTTGCAGCACTTGCTAGCGCTGGCTCCTTCTTCTGTTTGGTCCTTTCGGTATTTTAATATTTAACAAAGGAGACAGAAAGAAATTCAAAGATGTCAGACTTAGATCAAGAGTAGGCTTGGCTTGCTGACCTCATTCTCCAGTTTTTAAGGTGTTCTATGTGGGATCAGAACAGTGGGCCTGCAGTGTGATCCAAGTGGCCAGTCAGTCTCCGTGGGGAATGAAACATGAGATGGCCGTGCCAGGATCTGCACTCTTCTGAATGATTGTCAAATGTCCCAGGATGATCAGCAGGCAACAGCAGGCCCTGTTCTTTGGAAGAAGGCCACAGTTTGTAGATTGACAGACAACGGAAAGATCTTAAATACAAGCTCAAGTGTGAAGCCTGTTCTGGGCCATTTGTTTCTACTGCATTTGCTGGGGTCAGAAAGTGGGAAAGGGGAGGGGGGGGGGCTGCTGTGTTCCAGCAGTCTTCATAGTTCAGTGTTTATGAGAGAAAATGTTTTCAGCTCTGCACAGAGCCTCCATTTTGCCTGTTTGCTGCCTCCTGCTGCTTCTGTTCTCAGTGGCCATACCCATACTCAATTCCCTATGTGAATACTTGCTGAAGCCTGCTTGGCTGGCTGTGCTGCTCTCTTTCCCCTCAACCTTCCCTCTCTGTCCAAACCAATTATAGCTCTGGTTCTTTAGTGATCATTCCCCTTCTTTCTTCCTTCCTTGTCCTCCAGGCATCCAGGCACAAGGAATATCTAAGACTTTTAATGACCCGGGAGGGCAATGAGCTGGGGCTTTGGGAACTACGGAGGATGTGGGTTGCTAATTTGGAGATGCAGCTAAGCACTGTTGCTTAGGGTTTGCAGCCATAATGGGTGCTTTTTTACTGTAAAATGTAAGTTGGAACATAACATAAGAGCAGCTTTTCTGGCTCAGAAAAGATTCCCCTGGGCCTGCAATGCTACGTCTAACAGCAGCTGTAGCAGATGGCTCCAGTAGGCAGTGACAGGGCACTGTACAAAGCAGCAGTCTCCAAACTCTTTTGGTCTTGCATTCCTATCATTACTAATATGAACAGAGATTGAAAAAGAAACGTGACAAAGACGAAATAATCTCAATTAAAAAAATATTTTAATGGTACAAAAAATCTTTTCTTCCTGCATCCCACTGTACCCCTTGGGGTGCACACATCCCATTTCAGTGACCACTAGAATACTTTTTCCACATATTTTTTCAGTCTTCAACTGTTGATACCTCAGAGAAGTTTCTAAGCCAAAAATATTTTCTATGTCTTTAACATCTCTTTGAAAAGTAGTTCTACAGACTCACTACCCACTGTGTCAAACCACCCCATTTTGTCTGTGAACCTGACTCGTAGGTTCCTCTGCTGGCTATGGTTTATGCACCAGATGGGACAGTGAACAGTCAGTCTCCATCTGCCCTCTCCAGGCTGCTCGTGATTTTGCAGAGCTCTTGGAAATGCCTGCTTAAGATTATCATCATAATTTACTTTTACCTCATTAATATTCTATAACCAATTATTTATCCATAATAGATGCTATGGCCTCATAGTTTCATTAAAAGAATCTGTAGAGAGAGTCATACAGATTCACAGAATTGTAGGGGCTGGAAGGGACCTCAAGAGATTATGCAGTGCAACCCCTCTGCCAAAGCAGACTCCCTAGACCAGGTTGCACAGGTAGGTCTCCAGGCAGGTGTTGAATATCTCCGGAAGAGACTCCACAGCCTCCCTGGGCAGCTTGTTCCAGTGCTCCGTCATCTCCACCGTGAAGAATTTCTTACATTTGTGTGGAACTTCCTGTGCTCCAGAGAGGGTTTGCAGAATTGCATAATCCCAGAACTGTAGGGTTGGGAGGCACCTCTGGAGCTCCTTTACTCCGCCCACCACAACAGTTCTCTGCAGCACTTAGTTGCACAGTGCCCAGAAGAGTTTGGGATCTCCAGAGGAGACTCCCCCACCTCTCTGGGCTCCGTCCCAGGGCTCTGCCACCCTCACAGCACAGAAATTCCTCCTCATGTTCAGATGGAACTCCTGGGCTGCAGTCTGTGCTGGCTGCTCCTTGTCCTGGCGTTGAGCACCACCAAACAGAGCCCGGCCCCCTCCCCTGCCTTTCCCTTCAGATCTCCATCAGCACCACTCAGATCCCTCAGCCTTCTCTCCTCCACGCGCACAGCCCAGGGCTCTCAGCCTGCCCCATCAGGAGGTGCTCCAGGCCCCACCATCTCCGCATCCTCCACTGGGCTTTCTCCAGCAGTTCCCACCTGCCTGGAACTGGGCAGCCCAGCACTGGGTGCACTGCTCCAGCTGTGCCCCCCCAGGGCAGAGCAGAGCGGAGGATCACCTCCCTCATCCTGCTGGCCACACTTCCTGCAGTGCATTCCAGGGTCCCATTGGCCTCCTCGGCCACCAGCACACACTGCTGGCCCATAGTCATCCTGTGGTCATCCACTGGTTGCCTGTTGGCCACCACGACCTCCAGGTCCTTCTCTACTGAGTTTCTTTCCAGCTTGGCCTTCATCCTGTTCTGATATTGCAGTTATTCCTTGTCACATGTAGGATTTTACACTTGCAATTTCAAATGACTTTTATGTATGATAGTTTTTATTTATATATTGGTTCAAATGTATATATAATGTGTGTGTGCATTGTGTATTTTCACAGATAGGTAAAGATCTCTAATAAATATTTTCATTCTTCTTAGAGAGGAACTAAAATCTTTCCTCTGTTTTGAGGAAACAATTGTTTTAATGGTGTTTTTCCTTGAAGAATATAAACCTCAGTATGACATCAACTTTGCTGAGTGTCTTATTCAGCATTAAGTTTGCAATCTCACCTAAAGGGAAATTCCAGAGCATGCTGAAGTCAACATGAATGTCTGGACTTTAGAATACCTGCAGGGGCTGCTGACAAAGTATCACTTTCCTTTTCTTCTTGATCAGAGACATGACCTTTTCTTAAAGGGTTCTTGTCATATCATGAACTTGTGATGCTCTCCAGCATAGGTGGGGGCAAAGGCTTTCAATGGAAAATGCTTTACTGTAATGCTTCTGTAGTTCAGCTCTGTGTGTTACAGTGTCCCTACTGATCACAGCAATCAGTTGGTCCATTCAAAATGTGGAGTACTGTAGAAGTCACTTTGCTTTTGCTTTGATTAGCATGTGGACTGCACCTATTTGAACTGTGCATTGCATGCCATGCCAGCTTTGGTAAGAAGGTAGAGCTGTCTGCTGTAAGCTGGCCTGAATGTTACTGACCACTGAGTGCTTTCCCATATCCAGTGTTTTTCATCTCTGTTTCCCGTCTCCATTATCACTGTGTTCTGCTTTATGATGTCCAGGGAGTTCCAATTCAGATCTCTTGTGCTCTGTGTTGCTGCTTATATGTAAGGTTGGTAAAAATGGGGAACTTGCAGGAGCTAGAGTGCGATTGTGTACAAATGTCATTGCAGCTGGAGAAGCAGGGACCAAACTGTCTCTTTTTTTCTGTTTTGCTTCTTCCCTAGCGACCTGGGATGCCATCAGGAGCTCGAATGCCCCATCAGGGGGCTCCCATGGGTCCCCCAGGCCCTCCATATGTTGGAAGCCCCTCGGTGAGACCTGGGATGCCCCAGACTGTGATGGAAACAACGAGAAAACGTACTGCACCACAGCAGGTCCAACAACAGCAGGTGCAGCAGCAAGTGCAGCAGCAGCAGCAAGCTACTCAGAACCGAACTAGGAGGTGAGTATTCCAGAAAGGAAGGGTGGGGAAAAACTGAGGAAGAAAATCTTTATTTAGTAATAAGTAAGAGCTTTAAAACTGAATGAGACAAACCAGAAGATTTATATAGCGTCAGTTTCTTAAAGCAGGAAAAAAAATGGTAAATTTTACTCTACTTTGTTTACTCCTACTTTGTTTAGGAATGGTCTCTAAAGATAATGACCTTTAATAAAGTCTGTTTCTGCTGATGAAATGCTTTCACCTTGTGGATATATCAGGCTATAGAGCTGGCCATCACATTTAGCCCATAAAGTTAATGATCAATTCTTTTCTAATATAATGCAATTATTGTATAATTTGTTTTCTGTTCTCTACAGTTTATCTAATTTCTGACTGGCTAACAAATTGGTTTGTAAACAAGAGACAAGTGGAAGAGATTTTTTTGTTGGTAATGTGAATACTTGTACTATGGTCACTCAGATGAGTGGTCATAAAACTTGCAATTTGTAGGCATTGCTGTGTTTAAGGAGAGAGATACCCATGGGGATTTTTCTAGAATCTGAGGTGTTTTTTTTTTTTTTTTTTAAGGAGCTTTCTTTCAATTATACGTATGCTTTTACAGTGCTGATTACATTCTGTCTTAAATAATATTTTTCCAGTTTCTTTCTGCAACTTATTAGACCTTATCATACTTGTGTTCTGAGGTGTGAGCCAGTTCCTGATAGGGTGCAATCACCTAGGTTTGACTGCCTTTTGCGAGATTCTTATGGGTATATATAGGATCATACAGTGTTCTAGTGGTGTCATCATATCCAGTTTTAGGTAAAACATGATTTCCTAAGATCAGTGCTTCAGGAGCCCTACTCTATCTATTGTATACGCCTTGGGTCAGCAAGCCAGACTTGAGAATGATTATGTCTTGGATGCATCTGGAAAGGACACAAGTCCTGAGAGAATTAATATATTAAGGTTCAACAAGATTAAATATAGAAGGAATGTGTGTGGGTGCAGCATGAGATGCATGTGCGTCACGAAGCCTTGCCCATGCACCAGCAAAAATGTGCATTCCATGGCACCTCCCAGGAGACTGCACACAAGAACGCCTAGCCCTCAAATAAATGGGATAGATACAACCTGAAAAATTGCCTCAGCTGGATGATGAAGTTAAACTTCAGTCATTAACCAGTTTCCAGGGATAATTAAAGAAGAATAGTTTGTTTCCTAAAAGTCAATGCCATAAATCACAGAAGGAAGCAGTTCCTCCCTCCCCGTTCTAAATTTCAATTTTTAATTTCTAGCAATTATCACAACTATTGTGAGTCCACCAATGCGTGTTAGGTACTCAGGGAAGTTTCTATTTCTTGTGCCGTACTGTCACTCCAGATAATGTTTTCAGTGTTTTCCCCTGGTTCATTCCCACCTCCCTGTCATTTCCCATTCCCTGAAAAACTTTCCTAGTTTTTCAGGCAGACTTTTCTGGAACGTTGGGTCCCATCCTGGGATTAATTGAGCCCCATGTTTCATGACAAAAAAAGGGCCAAGAAAGTATAATTTTCCTTTCTTGACAGGTTTGTAGGAGAGAAAGCAGATAAATCTCTTTTTGTAACAGATTCTTGGAAAACTTTTTAGAGCCAAGTTGTTGGGGTTTTGTCACGTTGTTTTTTTTTGCTATTTAGCTGAAAGCCTTTGGGTTGCTGCGAGTGCGTATTCCACTTCTCTCTAGAGGATGGAGTTTGCTCCAGAATCTGTGAAGAGTTTCAGTGCAGTTTTAATTTTTGTCATTTGCAGAAGGTGTTGGAGATTTAAACCACATAATGTTCCGGTCCCATTATTTCTGCACTTTTAAAAAAAGGACATTGTTCATCTGTGAAATTGTGTGTGACTGTGTGCATAAATTTTCTACCCAAGGAAGGATGTAGTTTTCACCTCCAAGAACAAAGAGCTCCTCAGATTTAGGCTTCTGTGCAGATGGGGAAGAATCTGGTATTTCAGGCCAGGCTTATTATTAGCAAAGGTAAGAAGGGAGTTGGCCACACTGGTGTGTGCGGGAGCAGCTTTGATGTGGACGTGGCTGATGACAGAATTCCTAGATGAAAGGTGTGTGTGGAAGGGCATCCCTGTGACGTAGCATATGAGCAGCAGGCAGTCGTCTTTACCTCATTTGTCTGTGTCACAGATGGAGTGATTAACCTTCTGCTTAAGATAAAGGCCTCACAGCTTATGGAGGTGAAGAGTAAGGCTTCAATTTCCTCTTGGCCTTGCTAGAGAAAGTGAGGTGACAGTTTGATGGGAGCAAAAGCTTTTCAGAATCTGAAGACTTCAAAGTACAATGTATTTGGCAGTCTTCCCAGCAGTACCATTTCTGAGGCATATATAGATTGGCTGTATGCATACGAACACAGGAGTGTGTTGAAAAGCATACATCTATAAATGTGCTTGTGTATGGGCACGGACACATTATGCATATGCACTACAGGCACACGTTTATCTTCTCACATTGACATTCATAACATGAGTGATGAACAAGCATGAAAACATAAACTGACAGCGTTGAAAGTCATTCATTTCAGTAAAATGAGTGTATATATGTAAGGGTGCATAAATATGTGTGTTTTCGTACACAAATCAACATTGCCACTCAATTTTGGACATAAATGAATGCATGCTCAGATCCATTTGAACAAGATCACATTCAGCTTACAGGCACTCACCTCTTCCTTGTGCATGGACGTAGATATGTCTGTGCACACTTCCACACATGTACTGTCCTTCGACATGCTCTTTCTGCATCCATGGATGGCATGTGCACGTACTTGCATACACTGCTGCTCTGCACCATAGAAGATGCTGTGATCAAAGAACTTGCGTACTTCTTTCCAAGATGCATAACAGACAGCCTTGATTTGTTCTTAGCTAACTACCTCCCCAGGCTGCTGAGAGAAGGGGTCCTAGGTCCTGGGCATGGGTGAGACCCTTTTGCTGATGCATGCACAGCTGTGCACCAGCATGTGGAGATGTCAGGATAATTTAGCAGGTGGCCTCGTTACTCCTAGATCTGTCACCATGGTAACGTGTTTTTTTCTTTAAAAAATGTACAGTGCCAAGAGGAGGAAGATGGCTGACAAAATTCTCCCTCAGAGGGTGAGTCGCTTTCATTTCCTATTCCCTTCACAATCAGTTCAGCATCTTACCGTAATTAGAGGGATTTTAGAAAATACTTTCACTTTTTGTTTAAAAATCTAATTAAAAAGTAAGTAGGCAGTGGGTGAAAGTCTAGAGAGCCAGGCTGGGGCTGGGGTCGGGGGCTGGGAGCGTGGGGTGCAGCCTGGCCTGTGTCATCCTCTTGTGCTGGGTTAGCTGTGCCAGCACTGCCACTTGCTGGATGGACAGTGGTGCTGGACTGTGAAGTACATGACTTGATGCTGGGGCCCTTTGAGGCTTAAAGATGTTTTTGATGAATTTTTGAGGCTGGTTCATAGTGCAGTTGTGCTTGCAGGAGGTGGACTTTTCTTAGTTCTCCTTGGCCCAGAAGACCTGACAGTTTCTAATTTTTGCAGTTGCGCGTCTTAGAATCTAAATAAACAGCAGAGTTCAAGAGGCCTGTGTTATTCAATTATTAATTCTCTTATCTCTGCAGATATGTCTTTTAGTTGCTGACTATGCTTGATCCTCAATGCTTAAATCTTCCACTTCCTTTTTAAACATAAGGATTTCTCTTTCATTATTCCCAGGCTTCTCTGTTTCCGTCCCCTACTTAGTATAGTTCCCCTAAAACCTGCATGGTCCCAAAGGACAAGACCCTTGAGTCTTCAAAGTGCATACACTCATCATAAGGTAGTTCCATTTTCTTTGGCTTCTGTTGATCTTTCTGGGCTCAGAATTCTTTTCAGAGGTGCGTAGCTCTCTTCTTCACATCTGCCTTTCAACTACTAGTGTAAACCCACACTCTGCAGCAACCTCTTCTGTGACATTTTGAAGGTACCTAGTTACAACCAACTGAAGAAATGAGCCCTTTTTGGTACACCTAATGACAAATTTTCACTTCCTGTCACTCTGTGATAGTACAGTCTTCATGAGTTAGGCATTCATTTTCTCATGCTGCTGTCTTGAAAGGAGTAGGCTGCTATGAAATCCAGAGGTTTGAATTACTTGTAGTTTCCATGGTGTGTTAAAGCCTCATTCCTTCTTAGGGTCTGTACTTTCTTAGAATGAAAGCTAGATTTCTTGTCTGTCTCACAATTGTTTTTCAGAGACAATCATCTGTTATGGATGACATTTTAAACATATGTATACTTAAAAGCTTTTTTTTTTTTTTCTTCCTTTATCTGGTGCCTTTACTAGATGCAAAGGTCTCAAACGGAGGTAGCCAAACTTCTCTGGCAATAGAAGACTTAACACATCTTTATCAAATTTGTGATAAGTTTTAATAGATGGAGCCTACCCTTCACATAAATCAAGAAGCTTAACCAGTGCTTGCACCATTCAGAACCATGCTGTCTCCAAATCTTCCTGTCTTTCATCACCTTTGTTACTGTCAGCCAGTAATTTTAACTGATGCAGTAATAAGACAACACAAATTGCTAGAGTCCTGTCTGTAATGGAGTTCTTATCAGTGCACTTGAAGTGATGATATCAGTGGTATGATTTTGTGTCTGGATTAAAGTCCTTCTTTAGGCACAGTCAAGTGTATCAGAACCTCCTTATTCTCACCATTCAGGAGATAGCGAAACACTGTGTAAATCAGTGTCCTGTCAAGTGGAAGATTTACACTGTGGATAAGGAATGAAATGAAACGGGGGGTAAAAGTTCCAACTTCCCAAATCTACTTCTTGAGTGATTTTCAGCCAGCCAGCATTTTTTGCCACAGGAGTTCTGCAGACTCTTCCTTGTGTTTCCTGGGAACTGTGAACTGTTACATTAAACACATTTTACTGCTGAGAACTGTCTGATGTAATAGAAAAGGGGGTGAGTGCTCAGGATTAGTTGCTGAGATAGTCAGGTAGCTGCATGGCTAACCAGCTGCGGGACTTCCAGGTTCCTTTACGAAGACTGTGCTTTGGCTGGAGCCTGTTGCTAATTGGTGGGGTGCTTTTCTGCTGCAGTTCAGCTATTTGACATGAACTTAATTTTATGTAGGTATAATTGTATAAGAATAGTCCAGCCTACCAAACTGTTGCACACTGGAAGATATTACAGAACTGTAGGGAACTTCCTGTCACATCCAGTCTTGTTCACTCTGTTGTAGAAGCCATCTCATGCAATTACTGCCTCAAGACTAATTAGCTTCCTTACTTCTGAGGTATTTTAGATTTGGCAGCTTCTCCTCCACACTTTTTTTTTTTTTTTTTTTTTGGTTGTTGTTAGGCTTAGCTAGGCTAGTGCTTTTAGTTTTCCAAATACACATGGCTCCCTGTGATTCTAATCCTCACAGTCGTTCATGATGTCTATTCTAGGCTAAAGTCACATCTTTTAAACTTCTTTAAATTTTAATTCTGGGGAAACTAGAACTATACATATCGTATCACCAATACTTGAAAAGCAGTAAGACATTTTTATGTCCACCAGAGAGAGCAAGAGATGTCCATTAGAATTAGATTTTCTTTTTTCACAGCCTTTCCACAGTGATACAGCATATAGTCATTCTATGATTGACTAATACTCACAAGTATTTCTATTTTTTGCAAGTGATGAATTCCCGTGTTAGAGCAGTAATTATTGGTATAGACTTTGAGGAACATGATCTTGTGCTTTGTAATGTTATATTTCATCCCATTTCTACGACACATTTCTCAGCTTCCTTACATTCTTTATCATTAAGCTTTGTTTTGTTACTTTTTTTTTTTTTTTTTTAATGCTAGATCTATTAATACAATTACCTGAATCAAATCATTTTCAAGACCAGTCCATGGGGTACTTTCTGCTTATTTTTTTTTTTTCCATGCCAGTTCTTTACCACATCATTTTTGTTCAAATCTCCACATTTTCAGTCTTAGGTAGCTCTTCCCTTTATGACTGCATGTTAAATGTTTTACTTAAATGAAGTAGACTGGATCTGTTGAGTATCTTTTGTCTAAAATGCAATTTTAATGAACAGAAAGAGACTTCATTAAGTCTAGGCTGACATACTGTAATATAACAAGGTTTAGAGGTTTTTGTAGTGTGTTCAACATTAATTACAGTTCTGTGCCGCAGCATATGCTGTATGTTTTCTTTACATCTGGATCCTTTCTTTTTTCTCATTAATACCCTCATTAAATTTCAGAAAAGTTCATAGACATCTTCATTCATAGTTGCGTATGCAGATATCATCAGCTGACATGGCCTTTCTGACCTGAGTCTATAAGGTGTGCTTCAGTTTTGACCTCAGGCCACAAACTGCCCTTTGAGAAACATGACTGCACATCCAACTGCTCTTCTTTCTTTGTTCCAGCATGTCTTCTCATTACTTCTGGTCAGTGTCTATCTTTTTCTGTACGTAGTTTTCCAGATATTGTGACTGTGATTCACTGTTCTGTTTCTTCAGCTTTTATGCCTACTCACTCTAATGCAACAAGCTCTACTGAAAATTCTTCTGTCTCCACAGCTGTGCATCTCTTTTCCCTATTTAGCTTGCTGAGTGGCGTGCAACTTTAGAACAGGAAACTATGCCTCCTTCATCTTGCTGCTCACTGTTAGTTACTGTCTTTCTCAGTGCTTCCCAGATTCTTCAGAAAACTTCTTGTCTAGCTGTGTTGATGGGTTTTGATACAGCTGTCCTTTCTTTTTAATCCTCTCTTCTTCATTCTCTTTATAAACAGTCAGCTCCTGCTGCTGGGATTCCTCTGCTCTACTCTCATATTATGATAGCTGTCCTGTTGTTCTGTGGTTACTGCATGACCATTGTCCACCTTTTTCTCCATCTGTGCCAGGATGAAGTGAGACATATCTGGATCTGCTATTTGTTCATAAGGAAGAAATGGCAATCTTAGCAGTAGCAAAGATGAAATAATGAAGTGGAATTGAATCTGTGACCAAGAGATAGCAGTGGATGGATTTCATTTATCTTGGCTTTTGCAAATTTTTCAGCACTTTTTCCCATTATATTCTTGTATTCAAGTTGATACATTCTGGTCTAGTTAAGTGGACAACCATACGAGTTAAAATATAGTTGAATGATTGTTCTTAGAGAATAATGTCCAATGGGTCACACAGTCCATTGTGGAAGACGTGGATAACCCAAGTATCACAGGGATCTGTCATAGCAGCTGTTCTGTTAAGCACCTTTGTCACTGACCTGGAGGAGGCAGTTGATGTGCTTGCTGTATTATGCTGGGCTGTATTAGCCTGAGTGGTGCCATCAGGTCAAGGAAAGGGGCTATTCCCTGCTATGCCACACTTGTGAAACTGCACCTGAACTTCTGGACACAGGCCAGAAAGAAACTGGGGTTAAACCCACAGTGGGCCACGTGGGCCAGGATGGAGCGTGTGTCTTCCAAGAGAAGCTGCTAGATCTGGCTCCCACCTCCATGTACTCTGTTTTTTTTTTCTTTTTTTTTCTTTTTTTTTTTGACATTAGAAATCATTCAGAAATTCCCTACTTAACTCTGCTCATCTTTTGCCAGGCCTTCTCAACTCTGCACACTGGTCTGGATTGTTCCCCTGTGCTTTGAAAAGACTGTCCTTGAAGGTCAGCCCATGTCCCCTGAGCTCCTTTGTCCTTTAAGGATCCCTGCTATCCCATGGAATCCTTCTGAGCAAATACCTGAATATGCCAAAACTTGCTCTTCTGAGGTCCTGATCTTGCTCTCTTCACAGAGCATCCCACGCTCCACTATCTCGTTCTTTTTCTGCAGCCAGGGCTGCCTTTAGTCTTCATATCCACAACCAGTTCTTCCTTCCTTGTTTGTAATAAGTGCAGCAAAGCACATCATCACCTGTGTTAAGAAGTTGTCATCAATCCAATCCAGAAATCTCCTTAGTGCTTATGTCCCTAGGCAAATATCAAGGTGGTTAAAGTCCTCTGTAAGTACGAGGGCCTGCTACAGTGGAGCATTTTAAAGCTGTCTCAAAGGCTCTGTCTTCTCCTTGATCAGGTGCCTTGTAGGAGATGCATCCCAGTCTCAGCTGTTTTAGCGCAACGCTCACCTTTTAGATGAGGCTTTTGTGTAGTGTACAACTGGTTCTCATTGCCTTCCAAGACATCACACTGCCAGTCATAGAAGCTATCCCATGATGTTTTGGTTATCCAAGAAATAGTAGTGCTGCAACTGGATTTGTACTGGATTCTAGTACTGCTGACTTTGGATTCCATCTATTTGTTTGTTTCACAAGCTGTGTGTTTGTTTACAAGCACATGCATACTGTGCTCCCTTTACAAGGAAGTTGTGAGCCTTCCTCATTATGCTGTTCCTGCTCACTGTCCTCATTGCCCCAATTCTACTTTTTTGCATTATTTGGCGATCATCAATATAAAATAAGACCATGGAAATGAAGGATAAAAGCACAGAGATTAATAATGTGCTCTTATTATTTTAAAATTTTTGAAATATTTGAATTTTCACAATAGAAAGAAAAAGATCCTCAGCCCCTAGAAAAACCCTACCTTACTAATGCTAATTTGTTCCAGTTATCCATGTAATTATAAGAGAGGATTTAGCATACATGCTTCAAAATATCAGATGATGAGTTCCTGCTGCTAGGTAATTTTTGTAGCTTCTCGAAATAGAAAAAGATAATTCAGGTCTTGAAGTACTCTTCACACATTTATACTTAAAACTCTTGTAGAAGAGAGGAAGCTTGCATGAAAAGCTATGAGCTTTTCAGTTAGGGGAAAGTGCAAAAAGAAAATCTGTAGGTTGTACAGATCCTTATCACATATACACCAAGGTAACTGAGTTTCAGCTACCTACGAAGAAAACAGAAAAATGAATTATGTACTACTGGTTGCAGTTCAAAAATATCTTTTGCTTTTTAAGCAATTATGTTAGAGAAACAAATCAAATTATTCTTTGTGATGTGCTACTCCTGGGGCTTACCTTTGATTATTCTCTCATTCTTGAGACAAAATTGGGAAAGAGTATGGGCATAGATCATTATCATGCTTCCACTAAAATATTCCAGTACTGTATTGAGAAAACAGAAGACCATAAGAGTGGTCAAAACTGAGCTGAGTGAACCTTTGTTTTAGCTCAGTATTCTGCCTTCCCTGCAGCTGTACTATTGCCTACAAGAGAGTTAGAACACAGGTGTATGGGAACTGCTGAGTGGCAGAGTTGCTGAAGAGCAGAGGTTGCCTGAACCTCTGATTGATCACCTTAGGGGAGCAGTGGGTCAGCCATGGGAGCACAGGTGAAGGCAGTTCACCTTTGCTGCCAGAAGGGGTGGAGCCTGGCTGCACCTCTCCTAGACCCTTTTAAGAGCTGACTACCAGTGGGGAAGGGTCTCTTTTGGAGATCCCTCCTCTGGAGTTTTGCAGTGAGCCTAGGACATGGGTAAGCATTTTATCTATTCTCTTTTTGTTGTTATAATTTGCCTTGCTGAACTCTATTGTTTATTTCATAATTGTAACATCTTTATATTCATTGATTATAACCAGGAAAGTACGTATAATTCTTCTCCCAAACAATTTTTTAACCTGCAGCCACTTGCATTCAGGGAATTATATGCAGTATTATCTTTATTGTCTAATTTTGGAGTGTGTGCTTTCTTAAATGATGGTTATAGATGGAATAGGAAATACCTTTTCCCTTTCATGTAGTAAGAGATATAAAAATGTAGGATAGAAATATTTATTGATGATTACTGTTTCTGCTAACTTATTAACAATTTCATTATGTCCTATCTGTAGTAGTTCTAGAACCAGCACGAGAAATTGTACCACAGCTGTAGTATATGCTTGAACTGGAGGGCTGCGTAGGCGAGCTCCCCACTTCATTGTGTGCCTGGGAGTTCATGAACTGACTATGCTGTGACTCAGAGGTAGAAGTCTGAAACTGTGTCCAGAATCTTTCAAACAACACAGTACAACGTGATTCATTTGCTCTGTGTTGAAGGAAGCTGAGGAAGCCTTTGCTCTCTGCAGGACAAGATAGTGGCATGGGGGTGTTTTCTCATATGTCAAGGTTTATATTCACTATGTGGAGGAAAATTTTGCCTCGTTGTCCTTATTCTGCAAGCTGTCTGGTAGCTCTTGGATGCTTTCAGAGCAATGCTTGCTCTTTGTGCTTTGTTCCTAAAAATATTTGTGTTCTTTTATTATTTGATGGTTGGACTGGGTGATCCTGTGGGTCTTTTCCAACCTTGGTGATTCTGTGATTAGTCAGTTGATAGTAAGACTGAGTAGCAAACAAGCAGCTAAAATTATAGTGTTCAGTTAAAGCTGAACAGAATTTCATGGAATAAAAGTGAAGCACTTCTTTAGCTCCATGATTTCTGCTTTTCAAAAGAATTGGTCTTGCTGCAAATAGTACAGGTGTTCTAGAATTTCAAAGGGAACAAACAAATAATATTGAAAGAGACATCCGATAGTCTTCATTGGTGTAAATACAGTAGGGAGTGATTGTTCATCCTGGAAAATAAAGAGATGACAGAAAACAATTAACCTCTGAAAAATGTATGAGCAGTGTGGAGAAGGTGCTTAGGGGCATCCTGTCCACTCCTGCTCCAACCCTACAAGAGGATGATATCAAGTGAAACAAACACTTGGCAGGTTCCAAGTGAACAAAATGAATTAGTTTGCAGACTGACCCTGGTTGTTCTGAAACACCGTACCTTAGGCTGTTGTAGGTGATAAAGGACATCAATTTTCAAATGCTGTCAGGGATTCAGTATTGGGAGAGACTGATACCTGGGATGACTTGGTGCAGTAGTGCTTATGTTCTTGCAACGCACAGTTAACATGTGTATACACAAGATATGATCATGAAACAGGATGATTTTACTAGGAACCTGTTAGTTTCCCAATACCAACAGGTTAAGTGAACAGATGCCAGATACGGCCAGCACTGTGAGTAGCTTCCCCACAACTTGAAGGTTTGATGTCAACACCATGGAACAGTTGTCCTTAGTAGCTCTTAATATGAAAGAAAAATGACTGTTCTTGATCCAGAAGAATCTTGGAGTTCTGTCTTGTGAAGTGAAATAGTTTAGTACACAATATGCACAAAGTGCTGAAGCTGTACCCATGCCTTGAGAAGCTCTCTTGCCTTGGCATGTTCCTCTTTGTCAGGCATTTCTCACATACATGCTTGTGTCTTAGAGGAAATTCAGACTGCAGACTTCTCATTTTAAAGCAAAACAGGAATACAGATTTGCTCTTAATTCTTATAGAACAGGTAATTTTAACAGTTGAATATTTTGATTATGTAGCTGAAAGCTGGAGTATTATAAAAATTGACATGGCAGTCCAGTAGAGTACTTTTGTACTTAGTTTCGTTTTTTGTGGTTTGCTTGCTTAAGTTATTCCCAATTAAGAACTGACTTTTTCTTGTAAGGGTATGTGCCTATTTCGAGACTCAGATCTTTAGTATTTTCTCACTACACACAAATGAATCATGGGATGGTTTGGATTAGAAGGGACCTTGGAAGTCATCTGGTCCAACTCCTTCCCCTGTTCAAACAGGAGCTCTGAGAACAGGTTACCCAGAGCCATGTCAGCATTGCTTTTGAATATCTCCAAGAAGGAGAAGTATCTCCACGATATGAGAAACCTGTGGCCGGTGCTTGGTTACTCTTACAGTAAAGAAGTGTTTGCTGGTGTTCAGTGAGAATCCTGCATTCCAGTTTGTGCCAATTGCCTCTAGTCCTGTCACTGGGTACCCTACTGAGAGAAGCCTGTCTCCATCCTCTCTGCACCCTTCCTTCAGGTGTTCACAGACATTGATGAGATCCCCCTGATCTTTCTCTTCTCCGGACTGAATAGTCCCAGTTCTTTCAACCTCTCTGTGCAGGATAGGTGCTCCAGTCACTCTGTCACCTTTGTGATTCTTCACTTGACTCTGCAGGATGACCAGGTCTCTCTTGTGCTGAGTAGGAGACTTCTGTCTCTTTCTTCCTCCTAACCTACTTCTATCACATTCTCTGCTGACCTTTCTGGAATAAGGTGAATAAAAAGGGATTTTCTTCTTACAGCTAATATGGCTTAGCTAATATATTAAATACCGGAAAAATTTAGTAAGAACTTAAGTTGACTCTGCATCTCTGGTCATATCAAAACTTAAATATTTAGGTCAATTTCATGTCAGCCAAGAAGATATGGCAACAGTGGTTGCCTTCCTAAATTGCAATTTTGACTTATCACAGGATCGTAGGATCCCAGAACTGTGGAAATTGGAAGGGATCTACCAGTCCAGCTCCTCTTCTAAAGCATGTTCCCTACAGGAGACTGCACAGGAAAGCATCCAGGTGGACTCTGAATATCTCCAGTGAAGGAGACTCCCCCACCTCTCTGGGCAGCTTGTTCCAGTGCTGTTTAACACTCAAAGTAAAAAAGCTTTTTCTCATGCTCGTATGGAACTTCCTGTGTTCCAGTTTGTACCCACTGCCCCTTGTCCTGTTGCTGGGCACCACCGAAAAGAGCCTGGTCTCATCATCTGGATTACTGGCCATTAAATATTTGTAAGGATAAGAATGTGCTCTTCTCCTCCCCCTTTCCACCTCCCCTCCACGTCTTCTCCTCTCCAGGCTGAGCAGTTCTAGGTCTCTTTCCTCATAAAGGAGATGCTCTGAGCCCCACTAAAGTGACATTTGAATATTACTTGCTTTTATTAAAAAAAAAAAAACCCACACAAATACCTAATCTTTCATTTTCAGTATTTAGAGAGAACCTTTTTAGCTTAAGCAGGACAAATTTGAAGTACTTTGCATTTCCAAGAACTGTGGCTCCCAGGCTACTTCTAGCTAAGGCTCACTTGAAAAATTCATCAGTGGCTCCAGCCTTGTGGATCCAAAGTTCATCAGCTCTAATTCCGTGTTCCAGCTTTTCAGTCATGCTTGTACTATGTCACTGCAACCTGCCCCGCTAGAAACTTACCATCGTAGGGATAACAGCTTCTGAGCTCATCTGTCTAGTGGCTGAGAAGGAGTATTACTGCTCTGGGACATAGGATGTTATTGCTTCCAACGCTTGGGTATTCCTTCCTTCTCAGATCCGAGAGCTAGTTCCTGAGTCCCAGGCCTACATGGATCTGTTGGCTTTTGAACGCAAACTAGACCAGACCATTATGCGGAAGCGCGTGGATATTCAGGAGGCACTGAAGAGGCCAATGAAGGTATGTCAAGAAAAATTCCTAGACTGATGTAAGGGGAAACGATGTGGTGGAGTGATCTTCCCAGTAAAGGCCCTGTTAACAGAGACATTTTGAAATGAATCACACAGAGCTCCTAAGAATAAGCAGTTGGGGAACAATGTGTATGGAAAAATGGTGGAGCAAATTTTGTGGATATTATCAACTGTAACTTCTGAAAGTCTTTAAATGGAATATAGCTTATGAAAAAGAAATTCTGTTTGAAGAACTTTGTATCAGAATGACTAGAAAGAGGAATGTAAGAGTTTAGAGTGGTATGATGAGGAAACGACATTTCATGGGAGTTTTCAGTCAAAATCTAAAATTGTGGAATGATGAAACATATGATGGGAAAAATTAGTCATGGAAAAATGTTGAAGATCTTGCAGAAATATAAGCATTTAAATACCCTATAAAAGCACGATTCGTGTAAGAAAAGGACAAGTGAATTTTTTTTTAAGACTTCTACTAAATCAAGTTCAGCACTTCCCCATCAATTTTTCCTACTGAAATGATACTTTTGTCAGTTTTTCAGTGCTGTTTCACTGAATCACAGAAAAGATTGGGTTAAGGAGTAACTGTGGAATGCATCTAGTTCAACTTCCTGCTCAAGGCCACACTGAGGTTTGAAAATCTTGAAGGATGGAAGCTTCACAGCCTCTTTAGAGCCACAGACTTAGAGCCTAGTGTTGGGTTGGCTTTGGTTTTTTTTCCCATGTTGGAAGATTAGTTATTTTGGAGAGTGTTTTGAGGGAGATGGTTCAAACATTGATTGGAGACAGTGCATAGAATACACTGAGCCTGTCTCTGTTTCTTTCATCTTGTGTGAACAGCTGCACTGTTGAAATGGGTGACATCTGCGGTATTACTCAGAAGTAAGGCGGCCTTGATTTTCTATGAGGCTGGTTAAGGGTGCAGGGTGAAGGATTAGCCACCTGCCAGCTCACTTTACCACTGTCAGCAGTACCTCAGATTAAGTAATTCACTCCCAGGTTCTCCATTTCTATGTTCAGAAAGAGCCTAAGTGTCTGAATAGTCACAGAGTCTAACTGCTTCTCCCTGGTTTTGTAGATCTAGATTCTTTCCCTGTTTTCAAGTTTTGAGATGATTGAGGAATTGTTATCAGATTGTTGGCAGAAAGCAACTTGCAGTTTTTATGAAATGCTGACATTTCTATGCTGTTCAGCATTCTTTCTGGCAAGACTTTTTGGTTGTTTTAGTTGTTGTTTCTGCTCAGAATGACTTGTGTCTACAGCACTTCTTATCTGAGGTTTGCCATTCAATCATTCTAAGAAACTCACATTGTTCCTTCAGCTAGGTTCTACATCTAGAGCATCCAAGAGATACTCTTAGGGGACAAATACTTTGCCAAGATTTTGGTATCATTCTTTGCCTACTGCTGTTGAGCTCTTTGAATCAAGCCTGCACTCATTTAAATCAACAAATGCTGCAGGTGTCATTTACCCCAACTTGAGAAAAGTTTTTTATTGATTTCTGATGGAAAGTTAAGGAGAAAGAGGTAGGGATTGCAAAATAATAATAAAAATTAAGATGATGGAGAGAAGTGACAGCTCCAATGCTTTTTAGCTGTTTGGCGTTCCTGTCTATCTTGAGACTTAGGTGCATGGGCAGAATGTATCATCTTATGTCATTGTCTCGTGCCATTGTTTGTGCATAATATAGAGGGAAATTTGGAAGGACTTCACCAAGGTGTCTCTGTGAGGTTCTGATGGGATATACCCCATCACTGTCAGAAAAGCTGCACCTGGGTGAGTAACTGGCTGAGATAGAGAACTTTGAAAATAATTATGTTCCACTGGAATGGTAATTGTTGGTCTGCCTTAAAGCCAATTTATTTAATCTTTAAAACTTGGGACCAAGATTTGCAGTGTTTTCGCTGATGTTTTTGATGTCAGAATTTGGGAGGCTAGTTCTGAAATTTGAAGGTGAAATTTGCTAATGACTCTAAATTGGGAGATATTGTCAATGGTAAAGAAAAAGTTTTGGAAGGCATGTTGTGCATGAAGGAATTCTTCTATAAAATAGTTGTCAATTGATTTCAAACATCATTAAAATAAAGGCTAGTTATTTTGATAATAAAAATCTTGTACTTAATGTGATGTGACTAAGTGGGGGGCGGGGGTGGGGGGGGGGAAGCTGTCGGTGTTCCATCCGTGGAGGTGTCCAAGGCTGTGGATGGTCTTTGGGCAGCCTGAGCTGGTGGGTCTGCAGGAGGGGTTGTGGTCTTTAAGGTCCCTTCCAACCCAAGTCCTTCTGTGATTCTGTGAAATGTGATCAAGTAATGGTTAGGCTTGAAATTAGAAAGGGGTTGTAGAGAAGCAAAATTTCTCTAAGTCAAGGAGCAGTAACAAAGACCTTGTTTATTAAACTGTGTGTTCATGAGTTTCTGTATGGCACAACGTGATACAGGTGCATGAGATGTGGGCTTCTGTGTTGCTACCAGCTTAGTGATCCTATGGCTCAGTGGAGGTATTCCATTAAGTACTACTAAAATTTTTGAAAAGATATCTTAAATCTCCGTATGGGAAATGTCTGTGCAAGCCATTTGCAAAATGTTGTAGGTAAAACAGAATCTATGACAGTTTCAATTTAAACAAACAATGTACTGAATTTTTTTTAGGAATCTTTTCATCTTTAGTTGAGACATTTGTGACATTTTCAATTAAAATAAAAAGCCAAATAGCTTACAGTTTCCCTAGTGTGAGGAGATCAGTCTGGGCAGAGGTATATCCTCTGATTAGTAGGTGATAGATTAGGAGTGTTGACTTATAGCTTACATTTGTCTTACTGTCTTTATCCTTAACATCTATGTTGATCTCGACCTTTGAGTGTCACCTCAGAGTCAGCAGGCTTTGGATGGAACTGCGTCCTGGGCGTTCATGAATTGGATCCTAGGAGTTCCAATTGTTTTCCTTTCTGAGAATACTTATGCATTGTTATTGAGAGGACTGAATTGGCAGTAGTGCCACACCAGTGTGTTACTGTGTTCCTGGTTGGCTTCTTGGCTGAATAATTACATGCTATCAGACATTGTGCCAGCAGCCTTACCATTCTATACTACTTGTAAGTAGTTAGGGCTGAATTGAGCCACTGGGGTAAAAGGCTTATGATTTTCAACATGAACAGGCAAAACATGCTTGCAGTGCGCTATATCTTTGGTAGATCTGACTGTATTCTGCAAGTCAGGTCTAGAGTTACTGATTGTGACAACTGTGATGGCTGACCTGATTGCAGTAGACTCTGTAAGCTGTTTTTAAGGGCGGAGGCCCAGCTGCACAAAGGGAGAGACTGGTATTTGCTATTGTCCTAAGGGTTGCTTGGCTTGGTAGATCTGTTATAGGGAGGGCAGGGGTGTGAAGGGAGAGATTGTGTCATCTGGAATGCAGGTCGGAGGGGCAGGAAGGATCGGAGACTGCCTCATTAAGAAGGAAGTCTGAAGCATGAGCAGAAACTTGGAGACTGAGAGAGAAAGCAATGGCACAAACACAGCTGGATTGTAGAGATTAAAAAAAGAGTTCTGTGTCTCCCTGAGACGTTATCCTACAGAGTTTTCTACACCCAGCAAGTTACTGAGAGTTGCTGGACTAAGGGTAAGCTTAAAGAAATAAATCATCACCAATGACAATTTAGCAGAGAAAAGTTATGAACACTTCAGATTTTTTAAAAAGTTCTATTTAAACTTCAACAAATGTGAGTTTTTTTTCTTTCTTTATGCTCCCTTATTCTGCTGCTTATGAAGAATTTTTTTTTTTTTTTTTTTTTTTAAGATTTAAAGCCCCTTTTTTACTGGAATTCTGCTGCAGTTGCTCTGTTTCCATAGGTACTTATTATGAGTCAGGAGCAAGGATATTTCTGTGTGTTCCATGGGTGATAATAGCTGCCTTAATAGTGTTATAGTTCTTTATCTTTTGGATCAATCTCCAAAGACAACCTGTTTTGCTTATCAGTTTGGATGTCTTCCTTTAGCAGAGATTAGAGGCTCAGCTTTCTACCATACTCATGTAGATGTCAGTAATACCTGCAGCTTTAAAGACAGCCATTGCTTAGGATTTTTATTACTAATTGTTCTAAGTTAATTTCTGATGTCAGTGTATAAGAAGAGGGCTGACTTGTAATGGTTACGGTGAGGAGAAAGGCAACTCACTGTGTAGTATTGAGGACAGCAAATCAAAGAGCGGTGTAGGAGAAACAAATGATATGCAGACTCTGGCTTTGACTGGGCAGGGAAAGCATAGGGACCAGCAGGAGGCCATTCCTGAAATGTAAGCTGCATCTGGCTTGTGTGTGAATTGCAAGAAAAAAACATCTTAAGGGGTTAGCAAAGGGAAACAGGAAAGTATGAAGGAGAGATCTTTTGTATTTCACAGTGGAATTAGTCATTGTTATTAACTCAGTTTTAGGAGGACTCTCCAAGGAAGCTAGAAACTGAAAGCTAAGAGAAAGGAAGACATTTACAATATTTAGATGTGAACAAGATCACCTTCTTTTACAGAATATTATCTTAGTGATGTGTCTGTTTTCTCCAAAATCTGACACTTCCTACTTGTATATGGGCAAATATGAGGAGAGGAGTTGCCAGGGTAAAAAGAAGAATGGGGATAATGCCATTGGAAATCAAAAGGAGAAAAAAACTGAAATATCACTAGAGCACCCAGAAGGAGCTATTAAGAAAAAAGACTGCCTATGTACATAGAACTGGAATTGCAGTGTATTTGACTTAAGATAAATGGGATAAAAAAAAAAAGGGCTAGGAAGCAGGAATGTGCCAGTGTGGGTGTCAGGCCAGGAGGGTGTTGAGGATTATACCAGACTGTATGATGGTTGAGGTAGGATGGGGCACAGGGCATGTAATTTGCAGCATTAGCTGGATTTTTTAATGCTGTGTACAAATCTGAACTCTGATTTGACTATGAAAGTTGTTCATGTAGCAGAAGATGTACAATTGAATTCTAGCAATCCAGCTAGTATCTAGAAAAGAAGGATGTCATATGGTGCTTTTCTTACAATGACATCTCAAATATCTAAACCAGAGGTACAGGATCTGCAGCCTCCTGTCTTCCTCTACTTACAACGTATTCATATACAAGCAAATTCTCTACTGAAAGTCTTTCCTGTGGCTGCCTTGAGACCTGGACTTAACCTGGATATGTCCTTCTCTCCTTTTGTGTAACAGCAAAAGCGGAAGCTGAGACTTTATATCTCCAACACATTTAATCCTGCGAAATCTGACGCTGATGATTCCGACGGCAGCATCGCATCATGGGAGCTTCGAGTGGAGGGGAAGCTCCTGGATGATGTATGACTGACTTGTTCTTCAGTGGGGCCAGCAAAGAGAGCTTGTCCTGTAGGGTGACAGGCTTTACTGGGAATATCCACTCAGTCAAGATATCACTAAACAGCAGCATTGGCTTATTACTGCTAGGAAAGCAGTACGTCCAGCAGGAGTGAGGGATACAACCGTAAAGGCGGTGCTGGGGAGGGCAGCGGGAAGCAGAGCAGTCTTAAGGACAGAACAGGTAGGATGATATTGGAAGAGTACTGCTTCAAAGATGTGACAGGATCCAGGCCACAAGAGGGGCAACAAGTCAGACCTACAGCAGGCCACTGCGTCTTATGAGGAGTAAGACAGCAAGGAGAAGAGCATTTTTCCTTTTCTTGGAGTGCAGGAGGATGTGTGGATGGTCAGAGCAAGGATGGAAGAGAAGTTTTATTGACTGAGCAATCAGGAACATCTGTGATGGTTTTTTGCTTTCATTTGTGAAAACTGGGCTTTCCCAGTCAGGGTCTCAGCTATTTACATAGACTTCACAAGCTAAGTATTTCATAAGATAAACGGATGGAGAAAGCAAACCATTCACTGTGCATCTATCTGGTGATAACAGTATGTGAATTGGAATCCTGATAGAAAACAAAGCGTAAACAAACTTCAGCATCTGGATACTGAAATTAGACAAATTCAGATTAGAAACTAGAGTATATGATTTGATAACAACAGAACTTTGTTATTGGGGAAAAAAAAGCTTGCCCAATTTTTATCATGGCATCTCAGTTACTGGCAAATTTTAAATTGAAGGAGGGTGTACTTCCAAGTAACTTCCAGTAAATAAGAGTAAAGTCATTGAAACCTCCCCTGGGGCACTGCAGTATCTAAAGGGGGTTGTAAGAAGGAAGACTCTTTAGCAAGGTCTGCTGTGATAGTGCAAGGGGAAATGGTGTCAAACTAAAGGAGGGGAGATTAAGACTGGATATTAGGAAGAATTGTTCACAGTAAGGTGGTGAGGCACTGGCACAGGTTGCACAGAGGGAAAGTCCCTCTCCCTGGAGATGTTTGAGGATAGGCTGGATGGGTCTCTGAGCACCTGATTGAGCTGTAGGTGTCTCTGTTCACAGCAGGAAAGTTGGACCCAATGGCCCTTAGAGGTCCCTTCCAACTCAAATGATTCTATGATTGAAAGAAACGTTGTGGAGTGTATTGTCCAGAAAGTGAGATAGACCTCCCAGCTTTTTAATTAGACAACGTGAACTGTAGAGCAAATGGCAAGTACTGCTAATTAGATGAAAAGGCAAAATGTAAAAGGAGATACTTAGTGTACGACTAATCTGTAAGACTTGCTGCTATTTGAGAATTTAGACAAAGAATTTGGCATTTATGAAAAAAATACAAACTTAAAAGTGATGCAGTGACCTTACTCACAGAGTCAAGGAAAACTTTTCCCTCGCTGTGTATTGTTCTATCACTGCTAGATTTTTGCATATTTCCCTGCCTTTGTCAGAGGGAAAACTCAATTAGACCGGGCATACTTGTGATCTGTATGAGAAGAGAGCCTGAGAAGAAAGCACATAACACAGGCTATTATATGCAGTCTAAAACATCTGTTTCTTCTGGTTATACAGCTCAGCAAACAGAAACGGAAGTTTTCATCTTTTTTTAAGAGTTTAGTCATTGAACTGGACAAAGATCTTTATGGACCTGACAACCATCTTGTGGAGGTAGGAAATTGATGCACTTGTGCATTCATACACTGTACAAACACAGATAAACAGCTACGTGCCTGTTACCTACCTTGTTTAAGTTGCATTGAATTTATTATCTCAATTATGGTTTTTTCAGGGGTTTCAAAATAGCATTTCTTTTTTGGAATGTTTACTAACAGAATCTATATAGTATGAAATCATAGGTGTAGTAGTGATGTAGTTTGTCTCTTAGAAAAAGAATTCATGTAATGAAAAAGAAGCGTGCACATCTCTGCTGACAAGTGAAGCGTACTAGCATCCAAACAGGTTGTATGCTAAAACAGCCTTGTGAGGGCAGAGCAAGAAATGATGTGGGTTTTTTGTGTGGTTTTTAATTGCAAGATTTCCAGGGCTTACTGCTTGTCTTGTTTGGAGTGCTGTGCACGGTGCCCCATTGATGGGCACGCAGTTTTCTGTGTCAGTGGAAAAAAAGGCTGACATGTTAATTGGCTTTACTTAGCAATTTATTTGTTTTTGGCAGTGGCACAGAACTCCCACAACTCAGGAGACTGATGGCTTCCAGGTGAAAAGACCAGGTGATGTCAGTGTGCGGTGCACGTTACTCCTAATGTTGGACTACCAGGTCAGTGTATGTTTTTATCATGGAAAATACACCCGCTAGGGCATACTGCAGTGGAGTAAATTCATCCCATCATGTTCCACAAGAAATAATAAATGTGGACTCAGAATGTCGCGCTGTCCAAAGAGATTATAATTATACTGAACTGCCAGATTATTTGATGTGTTCTCTTAATGCTTTAAGTTTGTTATAGTCTGGCAAAATACTGTTCTTGGCATGATGATGATTAGTATCACTTGCAGAAAGAATATACATTGCCTCTTCAGACTTCTTGCTAAGTAGTGAGGTAAGATGCACATGAAGGGGAGGTTTCCCGTATGCTACGTTTCAAAGGAATGGCTCTTGCTGGAGGTACCTGAACCAGCAGTGCAGCTGTGGCAGTGTACTGTCAGAGCAGACAACACAGCTTTTTGAGGTTGTTAAATTTTGGTTACACTGTCACTCTAATCTGGTATAAAACATTGCCCTGTGTGGGATAGACTTGTCATTGCACTGTTTCAGTGTTCCTGATTCCTCTCTTTTATCAGCAATAGTTCTATACTAGAAACGTCTGTACTGAACACATACACAAAATAAGAGCTCTTCACTTCAGAGCTAGCAAAGCTTGCTTCCAAATCAGTTTCCTGATTCCAGTCACAGGAAACAAACAAAAAGGAAAAGTTAGGATAGTCTTTAGTCTTCCTAGAATAGACAATTTTATTAATTTTAGAGAGCGTATGACCTAACTGAGATGCTGATATAGTTGCAATCCTGATTGTTAGGAAAACACATTGAGTTTGTTACAATCACCATTAGTATGAATTTATGCTTTTAAGCAAGTTTTCTTACCCTGAAGTTTTGTCTTGTTATAAATCTGACTTTGGGTGACCTGAAACCCAACAATGTAATCCTTGCAGAAAAATGTGGCAAATATTAAGCATGAATGAGTGCGCTTGTGAAGAGGCACCAGACACCGGAGTACCTAAAGAATTTATATTGTTAGAAATGTAAAGCAGGGTAATTGAAGAGTTGTACCACATAAGTCAGGAGAAATAGATTCCATTGACAAGTTGTAACCAGGTACACTTTCTGATATGCAGCAGAATTTTGGAAGCACGTCTAAAAAAAAAAAAAGAGTTCCAATGGAGTTTGCTGATGGGAGGCAGCTGATTGATTATTAGAAATAGCAGAAGTATCATCTTGAATTCATGCTCTCAATTTGTGGCTAATCTCCATTAATTCTGAGTCGGGATCATTCTTTTTTTGTCTTCCAGTCCCTAAAGCCAAATTATGCATGATACAGATAGCTTGTTTGCACAGCACATGTACAGTGTCCCTCTTTCTTTCCAAACACTAGGCATAGTTATTCTATGGTGGTGGTGCAAATCTGAGCAATTTCTACTGATGTGACTTCCACCACTGAAAGGGGTACTTCACATGTGGAACGAAGTCCCCAGAAAACTTAAGCTAAAACTCTATCTGTGCAGGTGTCTGTTATTCTCTCTGTTACCATCTCTCTCCTTTTCATTGTGTTGCAGCCTCCACAGTTTAAACTAGACCCACGATTAGCCCGTTTGCTGGGGATACACACGCAGACCCGATCAGCTATCATCCAGGCTCTCTGGCAGTACATCAAAACAAATAAGCTGCAAGATTCCCATGATAAGGAATACATTAACTGTGACAAGTACTTCCAACAGGTAATTCCTTTTTAGACACAGTGTCTCTTTCAAGGTGATCTTTATCCATCTGCAAACTTTCGATGGAACAAAATTTCTGAATTTTCGCTTAATAATTTGCAGTCTTCAGTACTGAATGGTTTTCAACAGACACTGACATAGAACTCATAAAATAAAAGTAAGCACCTCCTCCATTTGCCAGTGTTATCAGGAATCTGATGACTTATGACCTGCGCAAAAGTTGTAGCCTTTCCAGGAAGAAAAGCTCTCTTTCACTGTCTTGATTTATAGTTGCTTGTTTTTTTCTTAGCGAAAGATGGTATCTCAGTGACATGATAAAGTCTGTTGCTTCTGAGTACCAGATCATATGTAGAGTCTTCTGTCCCTTCTTTTCCTCCATCTATGAAAGGCGGAAGACATGAAAGATACAATTAGAAAAGCTATCTTTTTCCTAAATCTGCTTCAAATTTTAAGATACTCTCAGTGTTTTGCACGATGTTTTCAAAGTAGCACACTAAGATTTTCTTGTCTTTCACAACAACCTCTAGAATTAACCACTGAGGATGCTGGGAGGGATCTCCACCCTTTCTGTAAATGAGACTACATTAGTTTAGTAAAAGTGGTGTTATATGAGCTATCATTATCGTAAGTGGTTTTTTTTCTGTAGCTTTCAGGATACCTCACTTATTTTGGAAGTTCTTCAAGGGGGAGGGTTTGTGAGCAAAGTGTAACAGCTGGCATTTGACCAGGGGACAGAATTATAGCTTGTAGAATTCCTTTACTTTTGAGCCAATGGTTTACTTTCTTAACTGCAAATTAGATTTTGGACAAGGATAACAGACTTCATTGTATTCCAGATTTTTGACTGTCCGCGGCTAAAGTTTTCTGAAATCCCTCAGAGACTGACCAACTTGCTGCTGCCACCAGATCCTATTGTGATAAACCATATCATCAGGTAAGCTTGTCTGTCAGCTCAGCACTGTCATGTGCAAAATGTGCGTAAATACAGAAACAGCTACTGTAGCACAGACCAGAATCCAGGTTTTCTGACATCCTGGTCAGTGCCTTGGACTTCTTGTGTTTATTCTCTTTGACATTCTGGTCTATATAATTCTGGAATATTTTCAGTGGAGTGGCACCATTCTTGTAGGAGAATGCAAAACTTTTCACTCTTTTTATCCGTATTAAAATAATATTAAGAGTTGGTCGGATTTCATTCCTAATGGGAGAAAAACAAGTTTGAATCCACTGGGGGGGGAAAAAAGGGAGTTGAAATGTCATGGACATTCATTCTAACCACCCGATTATTATGTGAAATATGCAGCAGTGTAATGGTTTCAAATACAGTGGCCAGTCCATGCATGCTTGGTTGGGATTGGATCAGCTGGTTTGGGTGCTAGTCCGACTCTAAGAATGCAAGCTATTCAGGGATCCTCTAAAGAGTTGATCTAAAGAATGACAAGATTCAGAGGTTATTACAGCCAAAGCAGTGAACTTCCTGAAATCCTTGCCAAAGCAGGCATGTTTTTGGCATGGTTAATGTACAGCTTTACCTACATGTAGGGCACATCCAGCACATTCCATACTTAAGTGACAACTTGGGAGGAGGGGAGAGATTCACAAGAACTGCAAACTTGCTGTTGGATATTTCAGTCTTTTCTAAGTTTCTTTGTAGTTTTGATCAAAACTCTGAGTATTTAAATGTTACCATTAACTGAGCTTAGGAAATTGATTTCCTACAGAATATTCACAACAAATATTCCTGAATATGCTTAAAAATGATTTTTTTTATTTCAACTTTGTAATATATGTGATAAATTTTGAAGTTACAAAGGCTGTAAAAATAAAACTTTGTTTTTCAATTAATTTGACTGTATGAAACAGTAGTCTAAAAGTGGCTTTTGACCACTGTGTGAGTTGACCACTGTGTATGTACTGTCACTGAAAATGATTTTGACCTGTTTGATGGAGCAAAAAGAAAAAGGTGAGGTCCTCAGAGGCATGTAGTCATTATCTAGGAAAAAAAATGACAAGGAACTAACTGACAGTTCTTTGCCATGTCTCCAAAAAATAAGTCCCAGGGGCAAGATAATTTCTTTCAGCTAGAAGCTGAAGAGGAGGATGCTGTGTATAGTAGTATTCTGACATACTCTGTGCACCACACAGAACTGGACAGTATTATGCTATAGTGAGATAAGGCTGTGGATAGAGGAAGTATTAACTTGCTGCGAAGGGGAGATATAATGTTCGTTGAAGGGGTAATATGATGTTTGTAGTCTCAGGCAACAGAAAAAATTATCTGGAAGTTTGAATTTAATGGGAGTAAGTAGATCAGACTACTAAAATCACAGAATAATGTAGAAGCTAACTGCTTATCTAAGACTTCCCCACTACTAACTCAAAGCTGGTTCAAATCATATCAGATTTCTCCTGGCCTTGTCCAGCTTGGCTTTGAACAGACTCTCACAGACCCTTTCTCCTGCTCCATTGTGTTAAATTGTTAACAGTGAGTGTAGTCAATCATTGAAACAGTATGTCAGCCACTACCAGAGGTTTTTAATTGCTGGTGATTTTAAATATATATGCTCTTCAGATTTATCTCTAGGCCTATCTTGTACAAGAGGGTCACCTAGATTAGTTATTCATTTTAGGATTGTTAGGGCGCACACAGGTGAAAACAGGAGCTATTCTAATCTCATTGCGGCATTTTAGAACTAATGTTCAGATACAAACCATCCCTGCTTTTTGAGAAAGAAAGCAACAAAAAAAGTGAGAATGAAGTGGAAATTAAATAGAAATGAACAGAAAGATTATAATCTGAAAAAATACTTTTTAAATGTATGTATCCTGAAAGAGGATGCCATAAAAAAATATAGGGTGGATAATAGTTTCTGAACAATGCAAAACTGAATGCATCAGATTTAAAACTCACAAGTAAAATCTTCTTACGTGAGCCTAAGCTGGAGCTAGAGCTATTCTTCTTTGCTGCTGTCATATCTGAAATTAGAGGTAGCATTTTCCATTTCTGCAAAGAAGCAAGCCATCTGTTACCTTCTTAACATTACACAAATGTTCTACAAAGTGTAGTTCTTCAATATTCTTGTATCGCAAACCTGTTAGATGTTTGTTTATCCCTTTAATTACAATCATGAGTTATAAAAATTTAAAAAGTTCCATCCATCGAGTCAGTTTCCCAAGACTCTTCTTCAGGGCTGGGTGAACCCAGCTCTGGCAGCTTTTCTGGGCAGGCATGTTCTCCAGTCCCTGGTCATCCTTGTGGCTCACTGTGAGCCTTAACTCCAGAATGTCATGTGTCTTTGTGCCCAGAAATTCAGATGCACCAAGATCAGTCCTGGAAGCCAATTTGTACTAACTATAAAAGTGGATGGAGTTAATAGATGTGTGATTAAATGTGGTATATTTGGGAAAAGTCAGTATAGCTTCTGTAGCAGGAAGGCATGATTGGCTGTATTTTTTGAAGAATCTATCAGGCATCAAGATAAGGGTGATTTGCTTTATATTAGAATTAAGAAATTAGAATAGTTCAATTGGAAAGACCTGGAAAGATAATTTGATTCAACTGCCTAACCACTTTACAGCTAACCAGAAATTAAAGCGTATTAATGAGAGCATTATTGGAATGTGAGGCAACTGATGCCCCATGTCTGTCGAGGAAGCCCATTTCAGTCTTCTAACACCTTGACAGTGAAGAAACTTTTCCAATCACAAAATCACTCAGGTTGGAGAAGGCTTTAAAGATCGAGTCCAACCACAACCTAACGATACTACCCCAACTCTAACAACCCTCTGCTAAACCATGTTCCTGAGTGCCACATCCAAATGGTTTTTAAACACCCCCGGGGATGGTGACTCAACCACCTCCCTGGGCAGCCCATTCCAGTGTTTACCAGCCCTTTCTGTAAAGAAGTGTTTCCTGATATCCAACCTAAACTTACCTGGCACAACTTGAGGCCATTTCCCCTTGTCCTGTCACCAGTGAGAAGAGACTACCCCCCCCTCTTCCTGCAATCACCTTTCAGGAATTGGAAGAGAGCAATAAGGTCTCCCCTCAGCCTCCTCTACCTAAACAGCCCCAGTTCCTTCAGTCTCTCCTCATAGGCCGTATTCTCTAAGTCCTTCACAAGCCTTGTTGCCCTTCTTTGGACCTGCTCCATGCACCTCCATGTCCTTTCTGTACTGAGGTGCCCAAAACTGAACACAGAACTCAAGGTGAGGCCTCACCAGGGCCGAGTACAGGGGCAGGATGACTTCCCTAGTCCTGCTCACCACACCATTCCTGATCCAAGCCAGGATGCCACTGGCCTTCTTGGCCACCTGGGCACACTGCTGGCTCATAGTCAGCTGACTGTCCATCAGTACACCAAGGTCCCTTTCTACCACACAGCTTTCCAGCCATTCCTCCCCAAACCTGTAGGGTTGCCTGGGGTTGTTGTGACCAAAATGCAGGACCTGACGCTTGGCCCTGTTGAAACTCATACAGTTAACCTTGGCCCATCAATCCAGTCTATCAGGGTCCCTATGTAGTGCCTTTCTCCCCTCAGGCAGATCAACGCTGCCTCTCAACTTGGTGTCCTCTGCAAGCTTACTGAGGGTGCACTTGATCCTCTTGTCAAGATTGTTAATAAAGATGTTAAAGAGAAGTGGCCCCAGTACCAAGCTCTGGGGAACACCACTTGTGACTGGCAGCCAACTGGATTTAACCCCACTGACCACAGCTCTTTGGGTCTGGCCATCTAGCTAGTGTTTCACCCAGTGGAGTGTACGCCCATCCAAACAGTAGACAGCCAGCTTTTCCACAAGAGTGTTGTGGGGGACAGTGTCAAAGGCTTTACTGAAGTCCAGGTAGACCACATCGACAGCGTTACCCTCATGCACTAAGCGGGTCACCTTGTCATAGAATGAAATCAGGTTTGTCATACAGGATCTACCATTCATAAACACATGCTGACTGGGCCTGATCCTATCGTTGACCTTTAGTTGGTTCATGATGGCTCCCAAGATTATCTGTTCTGTAATCTTTCCCGGCACCAAAGTGAGACTGGTATGTCTGTAGCTACCAGGGTTATCTTTCCTGCCCTTTTTAAGATGGGTGTTGCACTTGCCAGTCTCCAGTCCGCCAGCACACTTCCAACTAGACAGAAAAGGTCTGTCTCCTAGTCTGAACCTCCCCTGGTGCAGCTTTGTGAATTCTATCCTGGAAAGCAGCTCTGCAGAGAAGGACCTGAAAGCCCTGGAGAACAGCAGGTTGACTATGAACCATCAATATGCTCTTGTGGCCAAGAAGACCATTGGTATCATGGGGTACATTAAAAAGAGCATGGCCAGCAGAACAAGGGAAGTAATCCTTCCTCTCTACACAGACCTGGTGATGCCTCATCTGGAGTACTTTGTCCTGTTCCCAGTTCCCCCATACATGAGAATCTAGAAAGAGACACATAAGTGATGAATGGTCTGGAAAAACCTCTGCTAGGAGTAAACACTGAGGAATCATCTGATTATCTAATTAATGTTTATAAGTACCTGAGAAAGCTCTGCTACAAGGAAACACAGAATCACAGAATTGCCAGGGTTGGAAGGGACCTCAAGGATCATGAATCTCCAACCCCCCCACCACAGGCAGGGCCACCAACCTTCCTGCCTAATGCTAGACCAAGCTGCCCAGGGCCCCATCCAATCTGGCCTTGAACACCTCCAGGGATGGACGGGGCATCCACAACCTCTCTGGGCAGCCTGTTCCAGTACCTCACCACTCTCTCCGTAAAGAATTTCCCCCTGACATCCAACCTAAATCTCCCTTCCCTCAACTTCAAAACATTTCCCCTTGTCCTGCTGTCACTCACCCTTTCAAAGAGTTGATTTCCCTCCTGTTTGTAGGCTCCCTTTAGGTAATGAAAGGCTGCAATGAGGTCACCCCACAGCCTTCTTTTCTTCAGGCTGACCAAGCCCAACTCCTTCAGCCTGTCCTTATAGGGGAGGTGCTCCAGTCCCCTGATCATCTTTGTGGCTCCTCTGGACCCTCTCCAACAGCTCCCTGTCTTTCTTGTACTGGGGGCTCCAGACTTGGATGCAGTACTCCAGATGGGGCCTCACAAGAGCAGAGTAGAGGGGCACAATCACCTCCCTGTCCCTGCTGGCCACCCCTCTTTTGATGGAGCCCAGGATACCATTTGCCTTCCGAGCCACAAGGGCACACTGCTGGCTCATATTAAGTTTTTCATCCATCAAGACCCGCAGGTCCTTCTCTCCACAGGGCTGCTCTCAAGGACCGCTCCTTCCAGTCTGTAGGGATGCCTGGGATTCCTCCGGCCCAAGTGCAAAACTCTGCACTTTGTCGTGTTGAACCTCATCAGGTTCACCCGGGCCCACGTTTCCAGCCTCTCGAGGTCCCTCTGAATGGCATTCCTTCCTTCAAACGTGTCGACCGCACCACTCAGCTTGGTGTCATCAGAAAACTTGCTGAGGGTGCACTCAATTCCGTCATCGGTGTCATTGATAAAGATGTTAAAGAGGACCGGTCCCAAGACAGATCCCTGGGGGACGCCGCTCGTTACCAGCCTCCACCTGGACATAGAGCCATTGATGACCACCCTCTGTCTGCGGCCTTTCAGCCAGTTTCTTATCCATCGAGTGGTCCACCCATCAAATCCACATCCCTCCAGTTTGGAGATAAGGATGTGGTGGGGGACTGAAACATTGAGGAATCGTCTGATTATCTGATTAATGTTTATAAGTATCTGAAGTGTGGGAGTCAAGGAGATGTGGACAAACTCTTTTCGGCAGTCTGTGGGGACATGACAACAAGACAAGGGGAAACAGCCATAAACTGGAGCACAGAAAGTTCCACACCAATATGAGAAGGAATTTCCTCACAAGTAAGGTTGATGGAGTGCTGAAACAGGCTGTCCAGGGAGGTTGTGGATTCTCCTTTGGAGATATTCAAGACCTGCTTGGACACCTACTTGTGCAGTCTGCTGTAGGGGGCCTGCTTTGCAGGGGGGCTGGGCTAGATTGTCTCTGGAGGTCCCTTCCAGACTCTACAAATTTGTTATTCTCCATGATTCATCTTCCAATCTGCACTTGTTTGGCATTCCTCCATCCCAGATGCAGAAACCAGCATTTATCCTTACTGAATTTAATGCAACTAACAATTGCCCAATTATCCAATCTACTTAGATCCCTTTACAAGGTTTCTTGTCCCTGCAGAGAGTCAGCAGCATCTCCCAGTTTAGTATTGTCACCAAACTTCCTGAGGATGCATTCAACTCCTGATCTGGATCACTGATAAATGTGTTGAACAAGACTGACTTTAGAATTGAGACCTAGGGAACACTGCTGGTGACTGATTGCCTGCCAGATGTAGCAACACATCACTATAACTCTTTGAGCTCTACCATTCAGCCACTTCATCAGCCAATGTGACCCTGTTCAGGTCATGGTTCGACAATTTGTTCAGAAGGATTCTGTGAGGGATAGTATTAAAGGCCTTAATAAAGTCCAATAAGATTATAACCTCTGCTTTTTCTTGACCCACTGAACGGGTGATGTGATTGCAGAAAGAGATCATGTTACTGAGACAGGCTTTTCCCACTGTGAATCCATGTTGACTATGCCTGATAACATCTTTGTTTTTTAATTATCCTTTGATAGTACCCAGGAAACTCTTCTCTATATTTTTTCATGTACTGAGATTAGATTGTAGTTTTTGGTAGGTCTTCTCTCTTGACCTTCTTGTAGATCATTATAACATTGTGTTCCAGCGAGCAGAAATCTCCACAGCATCCCAAGACCTTTAGTGAATTGTTGATAGAGGTCCAGTTATAACATGTGCTAACTCCTTCAGTGCTTAGAGATGAATCCCATCAAGCCCCCTAGACTTTAGAACGTTTAACTTTTGCAAATGATCTCTTACAGTTTCAGTGACTTCAAGTGGAAAGTCACAGCTCCCCCATTCATGGTCCTCCAACTCAATTATTAGCATTGGAACTGATAACCAGTGTCATTAAGTGCTCACATCCAGGAAGATAGTGTGTGGTTTTACTTACCCTAAACAGATGCAGTGGAACAGGAACAATATTGAAATGTTATTTACAACTGGAAATTACTTTGGAGGCCAAAGTTATAGCTGTTCTCAGAAAATGTTAGACAATTTAATGAAGACTGAGCATTAGTAGCTGTTAAAGTTTGTAGTTTGGACAAAACCTCTGACTCAAAAGTCTGAATTCTAGCTGATGAAAGATAAGACAGTATGCTAGGATATGCATGTATATATGTAGGTAACCAGTTCTTAAATTCTTCTCCCAGCATCTGCAACAGTCCTTTGCAGAAAATATATCCTGTCTGGATGGGTATTTACTCTGATTCATTACAGCAGTTCTTATGATATTCTATTATCCTCTCTGTAGTGTTGATCCCAATGATCAGAAGAAGACGGCTTGTTATGACATAGATGTAGAAGTTGAAGACCCATTAAAGGGACAGATGAGTAGTTTTCTTCTCTCAACAGCTAACCAACAGGAGATTACAGCATTGGACAACAAGGTACTGGTCCAGGAGTAAAGTATCACATGGCATATATATATATATATATTGTGTATCTTCCATGTGGCTTTGTTGCCATGCATCAAAGAGAGTAACATGAGAAAGGGATTTCTCATTTGGATTTGCTTTCAAGGGTTGAATGCAATGGAAATACAGTGAAGTGAGCAGAGTTTGATGTTAGGATTTGATTCAGGGCCTGATATCATTGTCAGGGTAATAGAAGCAGAGTTTCACAGACAGTATAATGAATCCCCTGGCAGGTGACATAAAGCGTGGGCCACTGTTCATGCTGTAGGATTTCTCTGAACTATTTAGTAGATGTCTTGTGTTCTGTGGGAAACTAACATGGCTTATTTACAACTAAAAACACTTTAGAGCACACGAGGTGAATCAATTATGGTCTTCCAAGGTGTGTGTTAAGGGAATTAGGCTGGATCTGAAAGCCTGAGAGGCTGCCACAGCTCCTTTACTGCAAAGCCAACCAGCAACAGGGCTGAGCATGTATTCCCAGTAAGTGCACACAGATACATGTGCGTCCGTATACACTACAAATACACATATTTGCAGAGAGAAAATTAGAAAGACAAAAACTCAGCCACCATTGTTAAAGATAATAAAAAGTGTTTTTACAAATAAATTAGCAGCAAGAGGAGGACCAAGGAGAATCCCTATCCTTCATTGGATGTGGCAGGGAACATTATCACTGAGGATGGTGAAATGTCTGAGGTTCTCAGTGTCTTCTTTACTTACGTTTTTAATATCAGACCAGTTGTCCTTAGGATACTAAGCCTACTGAGTTGTAATACAGGGATAAAGAGCAGAATAAACTCCCTGCAGTTCAGTTAGTGACCTGGGCTGTCAGAAGTCCATGGGGCTGGGTGGGACCCACCCAAGGGTGCTGAAGGAGCTGGCAGAGATGATTGCCAAGCTGCTTTCTGTCATTTATCAGCAGTCCTGGTCAACCAGGAACATCTTGCTAATGTGATGCCCAATTACAAGAAGGGTCATAAGGAGGATCTGGGGAACTACAGGCCTGTCATCCTGATCTCAATGCCAGGTAAGGTTATGGAGCAGATCATCTTGAGAGAGATGACACAGCATGTGTAGGACAACCAGGGGATCAGGTCTAGCCAGCATGGGTTCATGAAAAGCAGATCCTGCTTGGCCAACCTCATCTCCTTCTATGACCAGGTGACCCCCCTGATGGATGAGGAAAAGGCTTTTGATGTAGTCTGACCTAGAGTTTAGTAAAGCTTTTGACTCTGTCTCTGCTGTGGTTTAACCTGGCAAACAGATAAATGTCACACAGCCTTTTTCTCACACTCCCTCCCCTCTCAGTCGGATGGGGAGAGAAAATTGGAAAAAAAAATGGAACTCATAGGTTGAGATACTAAGGCAGAAAGGGAAGAGAGAAATACAGAAAACAAGTGATGTACAAACCAATCACCCACCACCTGCTGATTGATGCCTAGCCGGTCTCCCACAGCCAACTCTCCTCAGCTTTATAATTTTCTTACATGATGTCATATGGTATTTTTAAATTGAGACAGAGGAGGTTTAGGTTGGATATCAGGAGGAAGTTTTTCACCCAGAGGGTGGTGACGCACTGGAACAGGCTCCCAAGGAGGTTAATGCACCCCAAGATCCCATTGACCTTCTTGGCCACAAGAGCACACTGCTGGCTCATGGCCAATGTGTTGTCCACCAGGACCCTGCAGAGCTCCTCTCCTGCTGGTCATCCCCTAACCTGTAGTGATGTATGCAGTTATTCCTCCCCAAGTGTCAGACTCTACACTTGCTTTTGTTAAACCTCACCAGGTTCCTCCCTGCCCAACATTCCAGTCTGTGCAGGTGTCATTGAATGGTAGCACAGCCTTGAGGTATGACAGCCAATCCTCCCAGTGTTGTATCATTAGCAAACTTGCTGAGGGTGGATTCTATCCCTTCATCCAGGTCATTAATGAAGATTTTGAATAAGACTGGAACCAGCACTGACCCCTGGGGAACACTGCTAGTTACAGGCCTACAAGCAGACTTTGCACTGCTGATGACAACCTCCTCAGCTCTGCCAGTCAGCCAGTTCTTGATCCACCTCACCATCTGCTCATCTGTCCCACATATTTTAAGGATGTTGTGGGAGATGCTGTCAGATGCCTTGCTGAAGTCAAAGTACACAACATCCACTGCTCTCCCCCCACTGCCCATAGCCAGTGATGAGATCATAGAACGCTGTCAGGTTCGTCAAGAATGATTTATCCTTGGTGAACCCGTATTGACTACTCCTGATAACCTTCTTCTCTTCCAATTGCTTGGAGGTGGCATCCAGAACAGATTGTTCTGTCACCTTTCCAGGGACAGAGGTGAGGCTGACTGGCCTGTAGTTTCCTGGATCCTTCTTCTTGTCCTCTTTGAAGGCTGGAGTGATGTTGGCTATCCTTCAGTCTTCAGGCACCTCTCCCATTTGCCAGGATCTTTCAAAGATGATAGAGAGCGGTTTAGTAATCACTTCTGTTTAGTTTCGAGCCCCCCACTGCAAGAAAGACACTGAGGCCTTGGAGCACATTCAGAGAAGGGCAACAAAGCTGATGAAGGGTCTGGAATACAGGTCTTATGGGGAGTGGCTGAGGTCAGGGGAGACCTCATCGCTCTCGCCAACTCTTGAAAGGAGGTTGGAGTGAGGTAGGGGTAGGCCTCTGCTGCCAGGTAATAGCAATAGGATGAGAGGTGATGGCCTCAAGATGTGCCAGAGGAGGTCCGGGTTGGATATTTGGAAAAATTTATTCTCTGAAAGAGTAGTTAGGCATTGGAACAGGCTGCCCAGGAAGTGGTGGAGTCACCGTCCCTGAAAGTATTCAAGAACCATGGAGATGTGGCACTTGGGGACATCATTAGTGGGCATGGTGGGGATAGGTTGGGGTTGGACTTAAGGGTCTCAGAGGTGTCTTCCAACATTCATGAGTCTATGATTCTATGTTATATACATGGCCAGCGACACAGATCAAAAGAGGCAGTTACACAGTGCTCTTTTATGAACACAAAGATCACAAATGTTCTCATTGCAATCCTTCTCTAGCTGAGCAGAATGGAAGTCAGCTAATTTTCAGTGAATTTTCAGATATGTCCTACTGACAGCTGGGCTTGGACACTGTCTTCCTGCTATCTGTCTCTTGATCCAAGTCTCCCTGTTTGCTAATATTTGCCTAGCCATTCAAGCCCCCAAGGCTGCAGCCTCACTCCAAATGATGATAGAGGTAGCCTCACACACACACACACACACACATAGAAGTGTACATGTCCACACAGAGGCACAGACATACGCAAGCACCAGTGCACATGCGTGCACACACATGTACACTGCTGGCTGAGACTCTCCTGGTTCCCCAGTTGCTACCTTGCTGTGGTCTGACCCTGTCAACAGTTTAAGGGCTGGTTCAGCCTGGTTCTGTGACTAACCGGGTGGGGATCCCATGAACCCACACCCTGGGAAAGGGAAGTGGGAAAAAGGGGAAAAGGGTAGAGAGATGGGCCTAAAAACAAAACAGTAGCAACAATCTAAGGAGAAACAAACCAATTTACTAAATAAGATATCGGAATGCAAGATAACACACTAAAATACAATATAATTAGAATTGAAGCTAATAAAACAATTAAATGAGAGTGTCCAAAAGCCAAATGCCTTTCTCTACTGCTGAGTTGAGATGATCTAGGGAGCTCACACGCTGCCAAGAACAAAAAAGGGAAGATTGAATGACCTCCAAATGGCTTTTACCTTTTGCTCTGAGCAGAAATGGTAACAGTACAGCGAACAGTCCTCTTTGGGATGTAGTTCTTCTTTATCTGGAACTGGAGCATCAACTCTTTAACTCTCAATACACTACATGATGTTATGAAGTGGAATACTGATAACCAAAAATCATAAAACCATAGCATTCCACCCCTTATTCCACATCACTAAATCATGCTTAATATATACATTAAACATTAAACACATGCACACATGTATATTTATACACACACACATATATATATTTATGTATTATATTATCTATATATTATATATATTTGTATATTTATATATACACCTACACATGTGTGTACATGTGTATTCATGTACATGTGTATACATTCAGTACAAGAAAGACAGGTTGCTGCTGGAGAGGGCCCAGAGGAGAGCCATGAAGATGATCAGGGGACTGGAGCACCTCCTCTACGAAGACAGGCTGAGTGAGCTGGGCTTGTTCAGCCTGGAGAAAAGAAGGCTGCGGGGTGACCTCATTGCAGCGTTTCAATACCTAAAAGGAGTCTACAAAGAGGAGGGGAATCAACTCTTTGAAAGGCTTGATAACTGCAGGACAAGGGGGAATGGTTTGAAGTTGAGGGAGGGAAGATTTAGGTTGGATGTCAGGGGGAAATTCTTTTCAGGGAGAGCGGTGAGGTGCTGGAGCAGCTGCCCAGAGAGGCTGTGGATGCCCTGTCCATCCCTGGAGGTGTTCAAGGCCAGGTTGGATGGGGCCCTGGGCAGCCTGGTCTAGTATTAAATGTGGAGGTTGGTGGCCCTGCCTGTGGTGGGGGGGGTTGGAGATTCACGATCCTTGAGGTCCCTTCCAACCCTGGCCATTCTGTGATTCTGTGATTCTTTGATGTGTATATACACATCTCCCAGCATCAAATTCCCTTGTGGTACACGCTGAACATCCCCATCTTTCTGCATCACCCACCAAGTGGACCCAGATCCCTGAGAAAAAACAGTTCCACAGAGAGATTTGCCCTTTCCAGAAATTGGGAAGACCCAAAGTGCTTTTCCCAACATGCTTTTTACATGTACCACAGGGACCTTACCTGCCTCTACAGTATGTAGAGAGCTGGATTGGGCAGGACCATCTCGATTGACCCATCCTCGAGTGTTGACCAGCCAGGTGGTTTCTGCCAAATGCTTCTCCCAGTGTTTAAATGTTCCGCCACCCATTGTGTTCAACATGGTTTTTAACAAGCCTTTCTATCATTTGATTTTGGCAGAAGTTGGTGCATGATAGGGGATATGATAAATCCACTCAGTACCATGATCTTTGGCCCAAATATCCACAAGTAAATTTTTGAAATGAGTCTCATTGTTAGACTCAATTCTTTCTGGGATGCCACGTCACCATGGGGTTTGCCTCTCCAATATGGTGTTTCAGGCGGTAGCATGGGGTACTGCATATGTTTCAAGCCACCCAGTGGTTGCCTCCACCATGGTGAGCACATAACGCTTACCATTGCGAGATTGCAGCAAGGTGATGTAATCAACCTGCCACTCCTCCCCACATTTATACTTTCACCATCGCCCTTCCCCCCAGAGAGGTTTCATCCTCTCGGCTTGTTTAATTGTGACACATGTTTCACAGTCATGAATAACCTGTGCAATTCCATCCATAATTAAGGCCACTCCTCGATCTCTAGCCCACTTATGTTGCATCTCCTTGATGGCCAAGGTCTCATGGGCCCAGTGAGCTGGAAATAATTCACTCTTGTGTTGCCAGTCCAAGTCTATTTGAGCCACCTCAATTCTGGCAGCTCAGTCTACCTGATGGTTTTTTTTTTTTTGCTGTTCTTCAGTAGCCTGAGTCTTGTGCACATGGGCATCTACATGGCACACCTTTACAACCACATCCTTTATTTGGGCAGCAATATCTTTCCACAGTTCAGCAGCCCAAATATGTTCTTCCACTGCCAGTTGTTTTGTTCTCACTGTTGTAGCCACCCCCATAAGGCATTTGCCACCATCCATGAGTCAGTATAAAGCACTGGCCACTTCTTCCCATTCAGCAACATACAAGGCCAGCTGGACAGCCTTTACCTCTGCAAACTGACTTGATTCGCCTTTTCCTTCGGTGGCCTCTGCAACTTGTGGTGTGGGGCTCCATCTGTGATGTTTCCTTACCATACGACACAATCCATCTGTGAACAGGGCAAATTTCTTTTCATTTTCTGGCGCATGGTGGGGCCTCTTTACCATGTGATATCTCTTCTGCCAGTTATGTTCCGAACTTTTTACCTTCAGGCCAAGTGGCAATCAGTACCTGCTGCTCTTTTACTCATAGCAACCCCACAACAGATGGATCTTCTGATAGGCCAGGCAAAGCAGGCAGCTGCTTAACACCTTTTGTGTCTACAGCAGCTATTCCAAAGGCCCATCGATACCCCTTGGGAGCCTTAAAATATCCCTTCTGAGGTAATCAATACCAAGTATACAGGCCGCCCCTGGGCCAGTCACAATAGGGTGCTTTTGCCAGTCTTTACCAAGGAGGCCTCCAACACAGTCAACTCTTGGGAACCCCCAGTTACCCCTGAAATATAAATCGATTTTGTCCCTTCATGACTTGAGGGCATTAGAGTGCACCGTGCACCAGTGTCCACCAGTGCCTTATATTTCTGTGGTTCTGACGTGCCAGGCCATCTAATCCACCTCCCCTATGGGACTGAGGAAGTTGGAGCTCTTTATCCTGGAGTAGAGAAGGCTTCCAGTACTTGAAGGGGAGCCTACAGGAAAGCTGGGGAAGGACTTTTTAAAAGGGCAGGTAGTGACAGGATAAGGGGAAATGGCTTTAAACTGGAAGAGGGTAGATTTAGACTAGATATTACGAAGAAATTCCTTACTGTGAGGGTGGCGAGGGACTGAAGCAGGTTGCCTAAGGGGGTTGTGGATGCCTTTTCCCGGGAGGCAATCGAGGCCAGGCTGGACAGGGCTTTGAGCAACCTGGTCTAGCAGGAGGTGTCCCCCTAGCAGGGGGTTGGGACTAGATGATCTTAAAGGTCCCTTCCAACCCAAACCATTCTGTGACTCTATGAAAGTAATCTTATCCAAAGTAGACTCTAGGCAGGTCACATGAGAGATAATAAGAAAGTGCCTATTTCTCCCATTGCTTATTGAAAATAAAAATCTAACTTGTTACCTGTACATGAATATTAGGCAGAGAAGTGCCTAAAGATACCACAAGACTGTGGTGATGATACAAGATAGCTTTATAAGATAGTGGAGTAAGAAATACAAGCCTGAATAGGCAGGAGATGAGATGGAGTAAGATGCAAGAAAAGTGGAGAAATACGGCATGTATAGTGAGCAAAGAAAGATTAATACTGTAGTTTGAATTATGGATGGCATGTTTTGAGCTATAAGAGTCTCAAGGACAGGCATTAATTGAGATTTTAATAGTGCTGATAATGAATTGGGAAGGAAAAATAATTTGCTTTTGATTTATGCTAATGAGAAAGAGAAGGAGGCAAAGAATTAACATTTGGATAGGTTGAAGGAAGCAGTCTTTTGCAGAGGATGAACAGAGATGAATGAACCAAAGACTTTGGGAACAGCTGGGCTGGTAACATTAACACAACTTCCGAGTGAGCTGAAGAGGGCGCTTACGTTTTTACTATGGAGGAAGAAGAAAAAGAAGCTAAAATGTTGGGACTATCTGGCCAAATAGATACTCTGCATTACATTTAGTCCTTGAACAATTTTAAATCTCTTTTACACTGTATACACATGGTGCAACTGATCAGATAGCAATGTCTGCTTTTGGTTGAGATTAATTATTCTGTGGTCTCTGCTGTTTGACTGTACTGTCATGATCTCTTTTGACTGTAGAGAGAACTTACAAATGCAGAAATATTTAGAAGTCCAGATGTAGTTGTTCTGCCCTAGTTAATTTTCCAGAATGAGTGCCTTCTATAAAATTTGCAGGAGAGTAAACTCAGAATTCCTGCTCACCATTGCTTTTTTAATGTATTCAAGAATCGTAAATCTGTTTGACTATAAATTTTTATTGAGATGTCATGAAGTATTATTAAATTTATATGTGAGAAAGCTAGGAGAATCTCATATTTCAGATGTGTGCTGTATATGCACTGTTGCAGAGCAGCTCGCTGCATTGGTAGCAAAGGTAGAAGAAGAATGGAAGAAAAATCACTTGGAACAGTTTGGCAGAATTGCATCCTCATTTATTAAATGAGAATTACGCATACTCACAGCAGTGGTGAGCTCTACAAGCTGTGTTAGGGATTCTTGTCAAGAGGACTGTTGGTCCAGGTACATGCGTAAATGGTTGATTTGGCTGGGTAAGGGAGAAATAAAAGTGGCTTCTCAGAGCAAGGGAAGAGAAGGTGTGATATAATGGAACAGATATTATTTATGTCACATATTCCTGCCCATTTTCTGTTGATTTCTAACCATGTGCAGCTGTTGCCTATGTACTGTTTAAAGGTGGTTTGAACACCAGAGGTCCTATGGATTCTGGTAAAAGATCATTTTCAGCAGAACAGCTGCTCATACAGTTAATTTCCAACCTGGAGGATTACTGTTTCCAGTGCAGCTCCCCATTTTTGACATCTTTACCACCTTTTATTGAGCATTTGCTACAGCAGAGCACAAGCTGTGATTAGTGTAGCTACTGAGGTCACCTCTGGGTAAGCAGGCCTTGACTTCTGTATTTCTGTTTGTACCATTTGTTGCTGTGCTGCCATAGAGTCATCTAGAGGGAACTTGTTGCATGTCAATGGGAGATTTCCCTCTAGCACAGCTACATCATTTTCCCAAATGAGGAGTATTTTAAGTTGAAAGCAGCTCTCTTCTGTTAGTATACTTTGCAGTTGAGTCTACAATAGTGGACTTGGTGGCATAGTTATATCAGAAGACTAATATGTTTCTCCCTCTGTGCCTGGCCACATTAGCTGTCTTGGTAAATAGATTTATACAAGAAATTTAAAGAGATGAATTTACAATTTCAACCTGGAATTTTGGTGGAACAGGGTAACAAAATGTTTCTGTTTGTACGTGTGCTAATAGTTAATTAACTATCATCATAATTAATATTGTTACCCAGGATAATTATATGTCCTCGACTCTTCATTGGAGTCTTCATTCTTCCCTGCTGGTTATTGTTCATTTATTTCATAATAATTTTGAGAATATGACTCATTTTCTATAAATCTTTCATACTCCCAGTTTCTCATTGTTCACGTTCCTTTTTGCAGCCATAATGACATCAGTAGGCTTTCTCACCAGAAAAAATCTAGAAGTCATGGCTGTTACGTAAGTTTATTTGACATGGACTTGATTAGACAATCTCTAGCACAAAATTTGAGCATCCCAACAGATTATTGAAGGTATAATGATGATTAACCAGAGAAATAACTGCTTTCTTGCATTGGACAGTGTTTAAAAACATACTCATATAGTACTTTAACTGAAAGACCTCTGACTTGGCGAAAAGACTGCTTATACACAGGAAATCATTACATTAGGGTAAGACTTGGCTCCTCGGTGTCATATATATGTGCCATCCAGCAGTTCAGTGCAGGAAGTGAAGAATATACTTGTATTGCAGAAATACATGTGAAACCAAGATGTGATTTCAGGATGAGGGTTAACTCCTACTTTGAAGGGAAAATTCAGTGGGATCTTTCATGGGTCTTTGGTGTAGAATTGTCACCTTTGCACATTAGAAGAACCACAAAGACAGTAGTGGGGCTGGCCTCGGAATTGTGGAAGCATGCGAGGAATTAAGTAACATCTAGCTTATTTTTTTCTTTTAGATTCACGAGACAATCGAATCCATAAATCAGCTAAAAATACAACGTGATTTCATGCTGAGTTTCTCCAAAGATCCCAAAGGATACATCCAAGACCTTCTCCGGTCCCAAAGTAGGGATCTTAAGGTGAGCTACGGTTTGATGAGTGGGACAAGAATGTAAGAACTATAGTTAGATGTGTATAGCATGTGTGGCTAAAACATCCAGGATAGAAAATTGGTGGAAAAGAAGACAGTGAGTGTCTTCTTCTGCTATTCCAGAGCAGAAAGCATGCAGGAAAGACCATTTAGGCTGTCACCTCAAAACCAGTTATATCAATAAAGCCGTGAAATTATTTTAATGAATTGTCCTTCAAATATAAATATCTACTTTGTTAATCGATAATTTTCCAAAGATCTATTGTCAAGATTATGATTATTATTTATATTCAAAAGGGCGATAGACATCTAAAAAAATGTTCAAATATACCTTCATCTTGAAATGCTTACGAACTAAGGTGTTGTGGAGCTTCTGTAGCTGCATACATAGAACAGTTGTTTGGTGTTCTCCTTGCTGTTAAAATGTTAGAGATCTGTAGCACTTATCTTGGGCAGCTGAATTACTCCTTACTTGCTCTGGAGCAGAGGTTAAGAGCTGTTCACAATTTGCCTGTTATTGTCATGTATTGATGGTAACCACACATGCCCTTCACGCCATTCATTTTCCATTTGCCTTGGGCTTAGAGGTCAGTCCTGAATATTTTTAATGTAGCAGTGCAGATAGGTTTTGGCTCCAGGTAAATCTAGTATTTCTCTACATGGTAGAGTAGCTATAGTGAAAAGTATTTTTATTTTTGTCACAGGTGATGACTGATGTAGTTGGAAATCCAGAAGAAGAACGCAGAGCTGAATTTTATCATGAGCCATGGTCTCAAGAGGCTGTGAGCAGATATTTCTACTGCAAGGTATGAAGGAGTAAGCCACGCTAATGGCTCATAAGTGAATTTTCCTGTCACTGAACAATTGAATCTGCTGAACTGTACGGTTTCTCTTTTTCTTTCAGATTCAGCAGCGCCGACAGGAACTGGAACAGTCTCTGGGAGTGCGCAACACATAAGTATTGCTCAAAACATCACATTGGCATCATGACCACAGAACAAGTGGACTCCCCAGTGTTACTTAGCTCACTGTTACACATGGACCTGCTTCCTGACTGGATGGGAATGTACCATCAACAAACCAGTCAGAACACCAGCTTTAGAGTGACCCTTGAAAACACCACCCATGGGAGGTGTCTCAAATCATTCCAGGCCATAGATAGCAGAAGATTGCCATGCTTTATACAGGTGTCAGTGCTAAAGAAGATTAAAGATTAATTCATCAACTTGCATCATTGAGTTCTAGTGGAAAGTTGAGACACTACGCAGCAAATCCTTATGGGTTATGCATAGAATCATGGATGGTATTGATGGGAGAAATTGAGTTGAGTGTTATAAAAGACTACAGTTTTAGAGAAATAAAGGTAATTTTCATCTTGTGTTACCTAAGAGTCTCAAATAGTAACTTCTCTGGAATTAGACAAGTTAGTCCTGATAGTTGTGGAATGCTTTATATTCCTGAATAGAACTTTCATTACAGTGCAAGGAGCCATCATGCTATGTAAAATAATAAACTAGGAGAGTTTTCATTCCTGAAATGAAAAGCTCCTTTGGAAGAATAAAGTACATTTAGGACATCTATTTTGCAAACTGTAACACGCTCTGTTTCCCCTGCCCGTGCAATGAAAGGCAAACAGATTTATATATCACATGAGTATGATCAATGTGCTATACTGAGAGGAAGACATTTTTTTTCCAGAATGAAAGCTTCTTAAGCATTCTCAAGTATCAGTGGGTTAGTAAAGCAGAAGTTGAAGCAAGAAATAAGGCAATCTGAGAAAATGCAAATAACTAATGGTGCTTTGCTGATACCTGCCTTGAACACAGCAGATATTAACAATAAGCCTATAGGCAAAATAGGAGATTGCTTAAACATTTCTATCTTTGTGTGCCACTGGAGATCAAGACTGTAAAGAAGTTCTCTAATTGTTAAGTTGGTTCAGAATCCAAAAAACTTAACTTCATATAATGTGGCAGTTTTCTCTTTACTTCACAGTCTTAACAGAATCCCTGGGTTGGTCTTCTTCAGTCATAGGTAAATTGCCTTTTCCTATGGATCATTCAGTTCCTCCATTCACTCTTTTTGGTTACATAGGATGCTATTGAATTATGAAGCACTATCAGCCTTAGATACCGCTTAGAAACCACCTTCTTTGCAAATACATGACAAATTCAGACAGTGGGAATTATACCATATTGACTCGGAAACAGAGACATCTTCATTAAATCCTTCCCCCGTCCTGCTTTTTGTAGTGCACAGATTAGTTTGTCATTAATGAACCAACATGATTTCTTGTCCAAAAAGCAGCTGCCAAAGTATAACTGGGTCCTGATGATGTAGCACTCAATATCCTCTTCTAGGCTGCTCCTCTTCGTCTCCTTTCTTTCACTTTCTTGGAATGAAAGTTCACGTGTGATAAGGAATGGAGGCAGCTATAGTATGTATATACTATTTTGCTACAGTAAAGTCCTCTTCTGCTGTCTTTGCCAATTCTTTCATATTTGAATGTAAAAGTTTCTTCTGTCCAGTCACAGAAGACACAAGTCTTCCCTCCCAGTCCTTTGTTGAATACATCTGCTTACATGTTACCAGTGCCATAGCTTTCACTCTGTCCATTGTGATCAGAGGTGTCTCAGAAAATTCACGCTTGATTGCAATCATTTGTTGGCAGTAACACTGTGTAAAAACATTGGTGTGAGAAAAAGCACAGCTGTACCTCTTTGCCCAAGGCCTTTTCCTGGGAATGGCTTGGTTTGGATTTATTTTATTTTATTTTATTTTATTTTATTTTATTTTATTTTATTTTATTTTATTTTATTTTATTTTAATTAAAAAAACCCTTTTTACACGAAAACCTGAAATCCAGCAGTCTTAAACTGAGTCTTGGTAGGGGCTGAGAGGTTGTCAGACAGTTAATGACTTTAAATCTTATTTGCTGTAGGACTCTGCTAATTGCACTACAAGCAAAAACTATGAGGGAAAACAGTGAGGATCATCTGCTACTGTGCTTCCATATTTGTTATGCTGCTGTGTCAGTTGTGTGCATGCTGTCCAGTGTAAAATTATTTTCTGTATGTGGTGAACAGAGCAGCTACATTCAGGGGATGCATTTGATCTCCAGGAATAATAAATTTAGAAAAAGATAAGTAGGAATGTGAGAAGGGCATGAAGCTGGGATAGATGCCGTCTGCCAGGGGCTTTTGGTTTTGAGAACATTGTCATTTGAGTGGTAAATATTTCTTCAGAGAAATTCCAGTTACGTGCCACAGCTGGCAAAATAACTGAGTCTAATCTACTTCTAGAATCTCTCTTTAGAATTAATTAATTGTATGGGTTTTTCAGAGCAAATTGATGTAAGTAATGTGTTGCTGCTGCCCAGCGGAGCCAGAACAGCATCACTGGAGGCTGCAGCTATGTTAAATACCAGAGCTGTACTGAAGTGTATGTATGAGTGTGGCATGTGCATGCTCGTGCATGAGTCAGTACCTGGCAAGCCAAAATCCAAATTCTTATGTTCTACTGTCCATGTTCCTACTGCACATAAAAAGACTGCTCACCAATGATGAGTCTTAAGAATAGTTGCCAGATGTCTTCCTTTCAGTTAAAATGCATCTGAAATTTTGATACTTTTATCCTGGGCGCAGAATCATTTGGGCCTTTGTCATCCATCCCAGGGGTGTAGCCAGGACTTGGTTTTTGGAAAAATGTGACATTATATTTGAGGAGAAGCAATGGAACAAACTCTGGTCGGAACTCGAGCAAATGCAGCTTAGGCATGTGAAGTGAAAGTTAATGGTAATGAGCAGGCATGTAATTGCAGCAGATTTTGAATAATGAATTCATCTTAGTCTCGAGATGATGGTATTTTTTGGCTGAAAAAAGAAAAAGGCGAGAAAATTTTTGGGTTTCCTTGGTTTCTACCACGGTACAATACAAATATGTGCATACTGCAAAAATAAATTGAGCAAATAAATAAAATCTGTGCACATTAGTAGTTACTTTATAGGTGATAATATAGATTGTTAGAAAATATAGCACAAAATTAGGACAGAGTTAAAACAATCTCTGGAATGCAATAAAAGGGAAATATATCTTGAAGCTGAAATGCTGGCATAACAGCTAAAGGAAAAACAAATGTTTGATTGTGGAAGAAAAATACCAGGATAGAGGGAAGAATACTATGATTGTAAAAGAAAGGAAAAAAATGGGAGCAGAGTGCCACTGAAGTGCCATTAAGACAGAGCACAGGATAATGTGCAGACATTGCTGAAAATAGCACAGCTGATGTGGTTTTGTATATTTTGTGTGCATATGGATATGTATACATGTAGGGGTCAGGTCTGAGTGTCATTCTCAACTGGTACGTTTGGCAAACGGACATGCAGGGCACAGCCATGTGTTCTGCATATCGCTTTGGAGGCTCATTGTCAAAACTTTTCCCACTATTATCCATGGGGATTTAGCTGTTCCACTTACCAGCACTGGTTGTTCTAGTGCATGCGTGGCTTCAGTTGACAGCTTTTTATATCACACTGTATAGAATTTATTCTGCTGAAGCTAGTGAAAGTATTGGTATTATATGCTACAAGTCCACATTTTTCTAAAGCAGTAGTGAAGTGTTGAGTTTTTTTCCTGTTTGTGTTGAGAACCCTTTTATGGCAGCTTGAAGAGATGAAGGGGAAATGAAGACACTGTTTTGTTTTGTTTTTTTTTTTCCTGAAGAAAGAGATGTCCCTTCTGTAACTGCTCTGTTGTTTAATAGGATGTATCTGTTCTACCAGATCCTGTATGATTAACTCTTTTTCCAATCTCACTGAAGAAAAGTACTCCATTTAAAAAATACAGCTGTGAATTTGTGAGTGAGCAAATATATTCATAAGGGGAGATGGAAGAGAAACTCAATCTATTCTGTAGCCATCGTGTCTTCACTGTATGATGATGAGTGAGTGGTAGAAAAGCTTTTAACAATAAATGCTTTGTTTCTTTGTAACTCTTGCACTTGCCTTATGCCTTTTAAAAAGAAAACTTTTTTTGCAAACTTCTTTTGTGTATAAGTAATGTTGTAGGAGCTTTTTCATACTTTTCCTCTACAGAAAATTTTATCTAAGGAGTAGGAAGAGATCACTTTCTGTGTGAAACTGCCCAGAGACCTGGAGACTACTGAGCAAAGCGGGGCCGTTTACCCCAGTTCGTGGTGAAGAAATGATATATGAGGTGATGATCTCAGGCTCTGCTAAAATGGCTAACTTGGTATAATTGATTGCTTTCTGCTCCTGACAAAAGACTCCAACATTCTCAAGTTTTCAGGTTTCTGCTTACTTGTATGTACACAAACACATAAAGAGGGTGTACAAACACAGGCTTTTAATGGCTTGACAACAGTGAGAACTGTTACTCTTTAGGTCTTTCTTATGTATATGTAGGACTTTCATGATCTGCTGCCATTTGCAAAATGCCGAAGTGTCAATGAGAAATCCTTAATACTGGGGAAATCTGGCTTCTGTGCTTGGTCCTTTGATGGATATTTGATGTATACTTTGCTATTGTTATTAGTTACAATCAATGAACAAAAATTTATGGCTGGATCTAGAGCTTGGAAGCTGAGAGGAGACTGGAATAAGCTGTGCCAACAGCCAGCCTTCCTCTATACAAACATTAGAAATACTTGACAAGATGAACAAGCTGCAGTTCGCCAGCTCAGTGAAGGAGGTTTTGTTTTGGGGTTAAAGTGTCAGAGCCCAGCAGACTGTCAAGAAAGAACAGCATAAAGAAGTGGAGTGTGTGGAGAGCAGAAAGAAGAAAAAAAGGTGAAAGAGAAAAGGAAGGCCTAGAATTATTACAGCAACTCGGTGAAATTGGAAGCAGAAGTAGTAACTTTGAGAAGGAAGCAAACAGCCTGTATGAAAAAAAAGCCACAAATCTATAAAGATAGATATGGAATAGTTCTACCTGGAAGGTTATCTAGGAAATCTCAGCAGATGAGAAAAAAATTAATTTTGATTTTGAAAAAAATACGCCTACACACTTCCTAATGGAGAAAAAAGCAAGTAGCAGTAATAGCAATTGCATCTTGTGGTAATAACAATGCATTTTACCCCTTTCCTCTTGGAGCAGCAAAAGACATGCTGTCTTTTGCATGGGAATCTGAAAGGAGAAATGCACATTTACTGTTTAGTTTCCTGTCACTTCTTCACTTTCTTGGAGGAAAAAGCCATTGGTGAGTACAACGCAAAGAATGTGGATATATACAGAAAGAGAGATTAGGATGATCTCAGGGAGTCCTCTTTGCAAGGGAAGCTGGAAGGGAGAAGTTACACAAATTTAGATTATATAACAGATATTAAATCTGCTATAAAAATTGTGGTGGGGTTCAGGTCAAACTCAAGACATAGTCAAGGGAGAGCTAATCAGAGCAGCCAAATTTTAGGTCATGATGCAGTTGAGCAGCTGAACAAAACTAGCTCAAGTTAAGTTACTTTGCTGTCCAGGCTCCACTGACCAGGCTGCAAGGTTAGACACCTGGTTCATGTATGTCTACATTTTTTTTGGTCTTCATAAGCAGAGACTTATGCTATATGCCTTCTAAAATTTGAGATTGATTGCTACCCACTATTTTGGTCTTCCTTCCCCCAGCACAGCATACTAGTCAATGTTGCCATCGTACTGACAGGCCTTCATGACTCACCAGCCTCACACGTAGCTTCCACCTCCACATCCTGCCCTCTGGCCCAGGGGCTCAGTAAAAACTCAGGCCCGGTCATTTGGCTTCTGTACAGGTTATATTGCAGGTGTGACTGTTTCCTACCTAACTACAATTATTCTTTGCTGTGAGGCCTGTTGTTTCTGTATGGTAGACTGACTGAAGTTTGACTTTAGATGTGCCTCATAATCATGAGCTTTTCTGAAGAGTTGGACTCTGAGCACGACTACCACCTCCTGGTTTGTGTTGCTTGCCTTGTTCAGATATTGCTGGGCTGGATCTTGGTTGGAGAGTCTCTTCCCTGCCAGGCATGCTGCCATGCTCTGCTGCTGGCTGCCTGTCCTTAGGGAGCAGCCACCTCTTACTGCTACCTGACAGCCATGTGTCTTTATCACCCCGTCTTCTGTGTGCTGTGTGATTTGCAGGCATTTTTTTTCCCCACGCATTTCATACATCTCTATAGGTTGTGTACCTATTCTCCATTTCTAAATGTCATACCTATTCTACCTGGATGCTGTCGTTATCACCCACCATTCCAAACATTCAACTGAACTTTGAAACACTATTCTGCTCCCTCCGTGCATTTATGCTGTTTTGGTTGATCTTGCCTACTGTACGGGAACTGTTGAGTCGTGGCCTGGACCACTGATTGATCACCTGAGGAAAGGACTGAATCAGCAATGGAAGCACAGCTGAAGGCGATTCAGCTGTGGGATGGGAAATATGGAGCCTGGCTGCACCTCTCCTAGACCCCATTTAAGGGCTGACTGCCACTGGGGAAGGGCTTCTTTCTGGAGATCTCTCCTCTGAAGTCTTTCCTGCAAACCTAGATCTTCAGCTACAGGTGAGCATTCCTTCTCTGTTTCTTTTCCCATTTTCACATGATCGTCTTTCCAGCTTTAATGCCAAGTGTAATGCTTATTCAGTTTTTTTTTATCTGTGCAGATGCCAGGCCTCTAGACATAACTTCACCTGGGACAGCATTAAGCAATTTGATACTTTCTTACTTTTCTTTTGTAATCTAGGATTAAGTGACCTTCTATAAGCAGGAC